TTTATCTAGACAACCTCACTACGATTTGAAAATTCGCGTTTGTTCATCAATAATTCCTACAGGAGGGCAGTCACAAGAGATGTCAGAATCGTCAGAAAAAAAATTTCAAACAAGAACGACTAATGAAATAAAAAACAAATGTAACGAAAAATCGTCGTTATTTATGCACGAAATGCGAATCGTAAGATGGAACTTCATAATTTTCGGACATTTACTAATCTATAGCACTAGCGACTACGAAACTGATCGCCAATGCCACAATCAGAGCAAGAGTAAAACATGAAGATATAAATCAGATCTAGTAAAACTCGACGGCTCACTATCTCGCAGTATTCAAAATAAATCTCATCGTAAAATGACTAGGATAGGTTTTGATAGACACTACAAACATAGTTATCTGCAGTATCGTTAACACTAACTCGGAAAATACCAACACAGAAGCCCAATCCGATTTTTCTACCGTCTGTCGTCGATTGAAATTTACACGGACGATTCTGTTTAGGACATTACCAACAAATGACGTAATGAATATAATCCAGTTTTCTTTCTTTTGATTCGTTCACACACATACATACATACGTATATATCGGATACACAAACAGTAATGTGCGTGCTCCATCTATCTGCCCTTTGATCTTTTCCGATAATTTTTACCGTTTTAATAAACCTACTCATCCCTAATTTACTCAATGACTCTTTTCTCATTATTTCACTAATTTATAATCTACCGAGTGATATTTTTCTATTGACTCACTGTAACACTAAATAAGAACAAGATATCTTTCGACTAAACTTGATCTCTATCAATTGAATGTAAAGGAGAACAATATTTGTATTTCTCACCATGATTATTTGTAGCTAAAAGCATATCTTTTTTGAACAGTCACTAGTAATCAAATGAGAGAAAAATAACAGAAAAATTCACCTACATCTTTTTCACCTAAAATTTTCCCGTCAGTTAATATCTACTTGTTGTATTGTCTTTCATTGTCGACCCTTAAAGCGTATTTATTGACACGATTGTATTGAAATAAGATAGCAAGAACGTGTGTGTATGGCTGCATATGACATTCGAAAGAGGAGAGAGAGAGAGAGAGTGAAGCAGTACATTGCCAATTTTGTCATTTATTCTGGAGAAACAAATATGCTACTGTGATCCGAAATGTCCTTTCCTTTGTTTAAAAAGCTCTTTGAGATGAAAATGGAAAATCTTACTTTCAATATAGATGAAGATAAATTTGTCTCAGCTACGATTTGATATTGTTGTGGCAATATATCAATAAAATGCTTCAATAATTTTTCTTTTCATTAATCTTTGTGAAAACGATTTATCTGAAGTAGAAGTGTTTTAGACATATATTATTAAAACATATTTGACGAGATTAAAATATAGATAATAGGTCATTTTTTTTTCTTCAAATAGTTCTAATCGTGCTATGACTTGGTCTCAATCCAAATGTACACTTTGCGAATAGAAAAAAACCCTGAATACATGTATACACATCGACCTCGTTATGTCTATTCGATGTAATCTGAGAAAAGAAATGCGCAAGAAAGAGAAAAAAGACTAGTTAGCGTGTGATCTATGTTATTGTTCGTCTTGTAAATTTAAAAGATACGAAAACAATATATGATTCATCCATAAGTCATCGAATGCTTGGAAATCACAACCACAATCGAGAGAGGCTTAGTAAATGGAAAAAAAATCGATTTCTTCGAATTTTGACTATAGACGAATGAAGCAATGGTTGACAAGAATGTAAATATAGAATGAAAGAGAAAAAAATATGTTACTGCGCAGATATTGAAGAATGGTAATAGGCAGTGTGCGACACACAGGTAGATTTTAATAGATTGCGAAGAGGAAGAAAGAATAGAATAAGAGAAAGAGAGATAGAATTGGTAACATCGATGGGTGATATATTGTCAAGTACATATATGTACATCCTCAAATCAGTGTGAATCACGTTTGTTTCTTGTTTCTCGTGCTCGAGAGGGCGACACTGAATAGAAATCAATGAAGTATCACTTGATAAAGCTTAGTCTACTATAAGTTGTGTTGACCGTATGTACGATCTACGCTTTTCTTGAATCAAAATTTGATCAAATAACGACTTTGAATGTAGAAAAAAAGAAGTTCTCGTTTATCATTGTACTTTGACAATATGTATGTTCAAAAGACCTTGCATCATTATTATTAGAAAGGCGAAAAAAAGTTGCACAATCTGCACCCAAGTACAACTGACATATAGTGTCGATAAAAAAGTAAGAGCCGCGAGCTTCAATCAGTACTCAAAATGTCAATTAATGTCATGAGACTGAAGCCCTACATTTGACCCTTCGAGACCTCAATTGTTGTTCAAATCGACACTTGTCTTTTTTTCTTGATGAACGAACAATTAATATATTCAATTTTGAATCGACGTTTATTAAAACACCAACTCTGTTCGAACGAGAACAGGTATCGAGTCAAAACCCATATATCTCTTGAAGACAAATCAACCAATGTGTTGTTCTCATTTCAAATTTAGACTAATGCAATCATTAAGTCAAATGAAGATCATGTAGATACATAATGTCAAACAAATGATACTCTGATTGATTGCCGAGAAACAGAAATGAAGTTAAGTTTAACTTAGATAGAATTCTTTTAATAGGGGCTAGAAATGTTCACAAAAAACTAAAATGGCAAGAGGAAATATAGGTCATAATGTGCTAATCATTGTGCTACTAGTTTTCATTTTCATAAAGAAAAACGAAAAAGTAAATTATGTTGACAAAATTAGGATCTAAATTTTTATTTGCCACCAGTTGTTCCCATACCAAGAGCTGACTTGAAGGTATCGTAGATCCACCATTGAAGACCAGTCAATGTACCAATCATGATGATACGAGTACCGAGACCCTAGAAATAGCAAATGATGATTGGTAAAGTGAGAGACAGAAATAAGGCAAACCTTGGTAGCAAGTTTAGCAAATCCAGTTTCGTTGATGATTTGTCCTAGGCTCTTGCCTTTGTTTGCTGGTTTGCCAAGAAGTGATACGAGTGAATCAGCAGGATGAGAAACGATAGCACAAATAACACCGGCTGTGTAACCAGAAGCGAAAGTCACACCAAGTTGTGTTGTTTTTGAATAAGTATCTTTTGGTTGTGTGAACACATAAGTATAAAATAATTGTACGACCTGAAATTGTAGTGTATGAGAAGGAAATTTCGGCAAGTTTTATCGAGGAAACAAACCTTTTCGAAGAAGAAGAATTTAGCTACGGTGTAAGGAACTTGTCGTGACCAGAGTGGTACAAGTGATCGATATGGAAAGCCAGTTTCTGCTCTCTGGGTGCTCATTTGCGACCAAGCTGGACCAAAAGCAGTTGGAAATGTTCCTTTTGGTGCTGTTTGAACTTTGACTTTAACCATCTCCATTGGACACAAAGCAATATCAGCGAAGACTTCGGCAGAGGCTGATGCAGCACACCAAACAAGACCTTTGTATTTTTCGAAATTTTCCTTGCCAAGTGCATTAGCATATTGATCTTTGAATACTTCGTAGAGACCATATTTGAATGCACCTTGTGCAGAGTAACCAAAGAATGTTGGTAACCATCCTTTCCATACAGCTTGACTTCCTTCTTCGGCAACAATCAGTTTAAGACCTTTAACTAAACCTTTGTATTTTTCGGGATTGACCTGTTATGAAAAAGAGCAAAGGATTTTTTACAATAGATGTTTCCGTTATTGTGTCGTTTTGACAGAGAAACAGTGTGTTAGGATCTTCTCTATCGTTTAGATTAGATTGACAACGTAATGTCTACAGAACGGAAGAGATCCGAAATGTTTACTTATTTTTGCACGATCTACATCGGCAAGAACAAAAAGAAGTTGTAGACTATACTGAATATCATCGTATTTCCTGAAATGATATCTGTCAAATCTCCTACTTCGCCGAAGCTGAAAATTTTGAAGAAGAAAATATATTTGATTTGCATGAGTAACGTACTTGCATATTACATTTGGTTACATCCAATGGACAGATGGCTGTATGAGTGAGACCGCAAGCAAGAATACCACCAAGTAAACACTTAGAATAATATGATGCGTCATGTGGAACATGACCGGCATAACGAGAGTCCCATTTAGCTACAGTGCCTGTTGATCCGACGGTTGTTTTTGTTGACGGTGGCAATTGAGTTGATGGTGCGACCATTGTGAACGATTTTCAAAGTAGAAAAGGTCTAGAAATGTGAATGCAAAAAGTAAATACTGTAAATCAAAATCAACTGTTATCAAATGAAATAAGTATCACTAGAGTACATGTGACGTAAAGGCGTGATGGACTTTGAAAAGTTCGAGTAATGACGCGATGGAGTCCAAAACAACCATAAAAGGAGATATCCGACCTTTATTTGCGGGTCTATAGTCAGTTTGTTGTTTACAAGTAAATAAATATGTGTAACGAAATTATTCAATGAATATACACAATATCTCAGTCTCATCGAGATCATCAGCATTAAAAAGTGTTTTTTCATAGTTTTGACAGATCACCCATTCGATTCCTACTGCCCTCTAGAGATCACGCTATGACGTCACAGGTAGTATATGTCTGTCTATCTGTCTGTATAAAATATATATCTTCAATAAAGTTCTTTGAGCGTACACACAAACAATAAACGTGCTTTTCTTTCAAAAATGTACAACGTTTTAGAAGGAGAAGTTCAGTAGACTTCTTCGTTTTGATTATCCCCTCTTATCTCGACAGACGTCCGTATTTCGCGATTCACTCATTGTCTGCACACATGTACTATTGATAGAAAGGAGAATGAACGAAAAGAGAAAAGAGAGAGAGAGAGAGAGAGAGAGAGAGAAAACGAAAATACATTTGTAGTCTTATCCAAACATTCATCATTTCATTTCCATCATTTATTTGATCACTGTTGAATCGTTCGTCTCTTTTCTTTCACATGCATTCTGCATAGCTTATGAGACCAGAAATTGACCTGAAATGAGTGCACCGCAATCACCTACTTCTGCACCGGCTTCATCACTATCACCGAATACCGATGGTTGGTTCCGACAACAACCGTATTTTGCCGCTTTTTCCAATCCAGCACTATTGCAAAGCATCATGCATCATCAATCTGAGCCCAACAATATCAAACAAAGTTTCAAGTAAGAAGGATGATAAAGAAATTTCTCATACAGAGTTTGTTCTAGCCGGAGGATCCTTCGCTTGGTTGGAACCCAAGATCCATTGCGGTTATTTTTGGATTTGGAACAAATCAAGAAAAAATGGTTTTTCGCTCAAGATACACGACAAATATCCAAACGAAAGAAGTTTACTCAATACGTTCTAGACACTCGTAAGCTCGACATGTTTGATTGATATTACAATTCTTAATGCAATCTCTTTCTCAGATTTATTAGAAATGCTCTATCCAAAACTGCAAGGCAAAAGCGATTTGATTCGAATGCTTATCAACACTTACCGACAGATCCAACAAGAAGCATTCGGTATTGTCTTAATCAATAAACAAAATAAAGTAATATGAACTGATCTTTCTTCGATCTTCATCTAAACGTTGTATTTCAGGTATTTTTAGTGCAGAATGAAAAATACTATTGGAGTTTTCCAAAAGGCAAACTGAAACTTAATCCAGATACATATGCATTCGAAAGTCAATGGTCGTGTGCATTGCGAGAAGTAAGTTATTTCATAGATTGCAGCGATAAGCATGGTTGATTACTATTCGTAGTTCGGTGAAGAAGTCAATGTGGATTTAAGTTCATGGTCTCCATCACAATATTGGGAAGCCCGTTTAGCTGATAACCGCATGGTTGGCTTGTTTGTGATTGAAAATTTCGATGAAACAAAAGTTCATTTCGAATATGACAAACGGGAAATTATCGTAAGAAAAAGATTGAAAGCATTTCCAATGCAAAAGTGAAAATAAATTCGTTGTTTAGGATATTATGTGGTTTAATTTATGCACAAATAATGATGAAATGCATACTTTGAGACAGTACTGGAAAGAACAACAACGATTAACAGATCCTTATTATACAGCTTTACCATTCATCGAGTAAGTCAAAGAGAAATAGGAGACATGGGATGAGAAATGTTTCTCTTTAGACATTTAATTTTTGAATATTTACCACATAAAGAACAGAAATCTTCAACAATGTTATCACCTTCTCATTCGATGCCCAAAGAACAAGATGATAACTCAATTATCGATAAATTACTAGGCCGTTTACCCATTTGGCCATCAATTCCACCAGTAAACAAGTCCAGTTCAGATATATTGAATTTACTTCAACCACCAACACAACAACAATCGATCGAAGAATCATTTGAAACGAACCAAAAGTCAGTGAGTATCCTTGATCGATTGAACGACGCTATTCGAAAAGCCAATTGCAATAATAATTGCTCAACGGCGAACACCGATCATCGCATTGCGGTGCAAGCTTGAAAAAAAAAGCTATGTCTTATCTGTAAATTACATGTCATTTACGTTTACAGCATGTATTCCTTTCTGAAATTCAATATTTTTCTATTGTCCTTCTCCTTTCTGTTCAAATTCTCTTTATCTTTTGGTTAATTGTTTGTAGAAAAGAAAAGACACATGAGTACATCTTTTCTTGTATGTGTATATATATCCAAATCTACGTAGCATATGTGATTAGTGTCAATGATTAGCTAGCCATGTGTTTGTATTCGTATTGTTGCTCTCTGTATAAGCGCGATGCTTTTGTTCAATGTGTCTTATTTTTTTCGAAAATATGTGAACATACTTTTTCAGAGTGATACTAGTTTTCTTTTCTTACGTCTTTTTGTCGCGAAAATTGTATGTTGAACGTTAAGAAAAAAAGAACACGTAGCAAGGGAATGATAAATATGAATCAAATAAATATTCATAAAGACGAAATATATCGAAATTGAAGATTTAAAACAATGTTTTATTCCGAACTCCCGAATAGAATAGCATAAAACTAAAACAATCTTGTTGGCGATAACAATATAGAAGTAAAACTTGTTTATTTCATTAGGAAGAAGATAGTTTAGGTCGAATCGGACAGCAGAGATTATAGAATGCATCTTTCGACCAGAACGACCATGGTTTCCAGCCAACCCAACCCTATGAAGCAAAGAATACAGTGACTGACTTCAACACTAGAAAATAAACGAACTTTATCTTGAATAGTCTTAATATCATCCACTCCGGTGTAGTGTGGATCGAGAACGAGTAACATTGAATCGCCTGTTGATTCATTAAAATCCACACCTATGATTGTATGTGCTAGAACACCACCACCAATCATAATTGGGGTTCCTTCTCTCTTGAAATGATTGATAAGTTCACGGACATGTTCAACCATATCAGCTCCGCGTTCGACTCGAATGATTTTACATTCAACCTAAAAATAAATGTTGGATGCTTTTGAATTGCTAATCGGAGATCTTGTTTACATTCAGATAGTTTTGTAAAACGAATGACACTTCCATACTGCCGATCCATTGACGAGAGTTTAAAAATTTCTTTGGTTTATCTTCGATATCAATAAGGGTCTAAAAATCGTCACCAAAAGACTTATTTTCCGACTTTTTCTAGTTCACTTCAATACTTGTTGTATTTGTGCATGTGTTGGAACGGGTTTTGTCGTATATCCTTGTAAAATGAACCATGAACAAAGAGTTTGTAGCGATCGATACGCACATCCCCACATATTATCATCAAAGTTATCTTGCATATAATGATAATATGCATAGTGACCATCAACTAGTGTTTGTTCGCCGCCTTTCACTAAACCAAAAGAGGATTATGAATCAAATTTTCCAACAGGTGTTCTTACCTTTTGCTGGAAGATTCTTGTGAACATCGAATAATCGTCCGCTGGTCATCAATGATGCTAGTTGTCCATCGCCAAAATCCATCGAAATAAATGGTTGATTCATTGGCAATTGAGGATATTTGACTTGAAGTTCATTTCGTACTAAATAGAACAGAAAAGCGATAAAAATACAAATTTATACAGATTGTCTACCATTGTCCTTATCATCATCAGATACTGTAACAATTTGATTGATTGACTTGACATAATAATGTCGGAATGTTTTGTTATTTTGAGTCTAGAAAACACAGAATGCGTTTCATTCATCTTCGTGATGTATTGACCTTTACTCGACGATTTAGACTTTCTTCAAGTATATCTAATTGTCGAGCAAGTTGACTTTCTAATTGTCGACGCAGATCTCCTATTGTTGTCGAGCGTTCAGCAACGGCAAGTAAATCAAGATTTAAAGGAATATCTAAACAAAATGATTGTTTGTCTTCGCGAAAATACAGAAAAAGACACTAGTTACTTTGTCCTTTTTTCTTCGTATTGCACTTATCAAGGACTGGTGTATAACAAGATTCATCACCTGTGGTGTGTCGCATCAACCTTCCGGATATCATCTGCCATGGATATATTCGTCGATAAGCATCATTTTTCGGCTTTTTATCATTTTTATCATTTTCTTCAATGAACTCGCCAAGTGTAACTTCGTCTAACGAATATTTCCCATCATTCGTGAAAACAGCGTCTCGGGTGAAGTAAATATTCAGTGGTGAATTCAAATGATAACCACTGTCGGTCAACAGAGCACGAAATGCACTGAGTTCCTCATCGTTATCTTAAAAGATGACAAAAACAGACTTTGAATTAGTATTAAAAACGCGAGTGCAATCTACCCTGAGTAGAGAACAGATTTGTTTGACAACTAATACGTATTAAAATCGATTCATCTTGTAAATTCGAAGAAATGATCAACATGATCTGTAAAATAAAGAAGAAATTGACAAAGAAATCATCATAATCATTTTATACGTTCTTTTATTTTAAAAATCCAAAACGAACAAGACATTATTTCTTTCTCTCTATAAGAATTAAATAAGAGTATATTACGATTGTAATTTTTTTCTCTACGACATAACTAACAAGATATCATTATCATTCTGCAGAAGATGTACATATTTGTTTTTGTTAGGCAATTAGTTGGAATTCACTGTTTGTCGAAGAACATAGTTAAGAAGACCGCCGTGAAGCATGTAAAGACGTTCGATTTCCGTATCAACGCGAGCAATCATTGAAAATGTTTTACCATTTTCCAACTAGATAAAAGAAAAGATTATCATGAAGAATATTTGAAAGAGAGAGAGAGACAATTACTTTAATCATGGCTAATTTGTCATTATTGTAAATATTATATTCGATTGAAAAAATTTCCTTTCCAGTTAAGTGTAATGATGCACATGTATCACCATTTTGAAATTGCAATGGCAAGATACACATGCCGATTAGATTTGAACGGTGTTGCGGTTCGAAACTTTCGGCCAACACAGCTCGAACGCCCTAGAATGAATCGTTTATTTAAATGTTAGCTAAAGCAGTTCGTTTAAACTTACGAGCATCCATGGTCCTTTCGCAACCCAATCTCTCGATGGTCCACAACCGTAATCTCGACCGGCAAGAACAACGAGCGGTATTTTCGCATTACGATAGTGTTCGGATGCATCGAAAATATCCATCTCAGTGTTTGTTGGATGATAGAGTGTAGTCGTAGCTGGTGATGGCGACGAGGTCGGAAGTAATGATGATGGACGTTTCGAAACAAGTTTGTTGTTCAAACGAACATGATTGAATGTACCGCGCACCATAATAGCATCGTTTCCACGACGAGAACCGAACGAATTGTAGTCACGTGGAGCGATACTGAAAATATACAGAATTGCAAGAGAACGAACTTTGGCCATTTTACCCTTTCTGTGTAAGATATTTTGCTGCTGGACATGTTCGAGATATAGAACCGGCTGGAGAAATATGATCAGTAGAAACTTGATCACCCAAATAGAGCAGTACACGTGCATTTTCGATAGAAATCGTATTCGATAGAGTATTCTGTTTAATCTAAACAATTCAATCAAATGTTGAAAGTCATAGAAACAGAACAATGGTTTTATTACTACAGTATCAAAGAATGGTGGACGAGTTATGTAAGTTGAATATTCCGCCCATGGATATTGTAAATGCGTGTGAACTGCAGGGATTTTTATGGAATTCCATTGTGGGTTACCCGTCTAGAATAGACAATTGATTCTCTCAAGTGTCATTTTCATTCGTTCGATTTACTTGAATCCTTTCATTGATTCTATGCAAGATTTTCTTGATAATGAATTTATCTTCGATCTCTTCAATCTCCTGACGTGTTGGCCAGATATCTCGCATGGAAATAGTCTTCTCATTGACCGAGATCGTTTCATTTTCTAAATCGATCAGCACATTGCCCGCTAGTGCATAAGCGAGAACTAATGGTGATGATGTCACATAATTCGCTTTTGCTAGCGAGTGACGCTGTTGAATTTGTCGTGCACCACTTACCATACCAATGGTGATTAAATTGTCCTACAAGCATGTCAAAATAGTTTCCATAAGTCTATGTTTGCTATGTTTTTACGAACTTGATTGATAATTTGTTTGATATCCGGTTTGAACGTGTTGTTTTCTTCATTTTGAATGCATTTTTGACATCCATAGCCAGTGATGCGAAAACTAAACAGATGAGTTGTTGATAATGAGACAAGCAAGTTTTAGCTTTACCCTAGTTGTTCTAGAGCTGTTAGAACTCCACTTTCACGCAAATATGTAGTAACTATTCCACTGCCAGGAGAGAGATAAGTTTGAGTAAAACTCGATATTCGAAGACTATGCTTAAGAGCATTTCTGGCTAATAAACCTACAGAAGAGGAAGAATATACATCGAGGTTCAATAGATTCGAACGAACCTGTCGTTAATAAGGATGTAGCATGACTAATTCCATTTGTGCTGCTTGTTATCGCAGCAAGAGTGATAGAACCATGTTTTAAAACTTCATTCGAAGAAATTGTCGTCGAACAATCCAGCTGATCAACCGACAGATTATAACCCTAATAAGCAACAGATAAAAATCATTGAAATCAATGAATTGTGGATTCATACTTTAAATCCAGATGGTGCAGTAAGGCATTCTCGAAAATCCGATTTCATCGAACATAAAGACACTTTATCTTGTGCACGCTTCGGTCCACTACAGCTGGGTACCACAGTGCACAAATCGAATTCGTAAACATCACTATAAACAATGTGTTCGTGTTGAATATTGTCACTGAATAGTTGAGCTTGAACTAAATAATTTCGTATTGTATCGATTAAAGAAGGATCTTGTCCTAGAAAGCAAATTGTTGAAAAAAGACAAAGATCAATGAACGGGAACATACCAGTACGAGCATAGTGTTTCAGGCAGAAATCATCCAGAGGAAAGTAAGCTAGAAGAGCACCTTGTTCTACGCATAGATGTGCCATCGACGAACGATCCGCGATAGTTAAATAACTAAGACTTGAACCGAAAAACTCAATATATTTGTTATCAAGACCAATCTGACGAAGATACTGTTGATACAAAAGAGAACTTTTTAGTAATGTATCCTTGTTCAATTTTAAACACTTCATACTTTCATAACAGCGGATATTAGATCAATTGATGTTAACATAAAGTGTGGCTGACCAACAAATCGACAACCGATAATGACTGATGCCAAACGTATATGAATCGGTTGTCCAAACATTGCTGCCTCGGCTTCGATTGTACCCATATCTAAATCATAAGTGGATCACATTTATCCTCAACAAGCAGCTCGCAATTAATTTACTGTAACTGAGCACACCGAATCCATTGGCAAGTGTCGTATGTGTATCAGTGCCAATGAAAGTATCTGGATATACTAGTGTGAGTTTTTCATCTTTTGCTTGTTCGAATAAAATCAATTTTGATAAATATTCTAGATACAACTGTTGACACACACTCATTCCTGGTGGGATGATGGATATTTGATTGAAGGCTTTTGCACTCCACTGACAAAACCAGTGAGATATGTTAGATAGTGTTTTCTTTTTAAATCAACTTCGAACTTACTTTCATTAATTGTAATTTTTCAATATTACGTTCAAATTCTAGTTGTTGATTTCTTTCAATGGCATCAGCACTAGAGGAAATCATTTCTGTATTTACTCTACTTCATAGTAGTACACTTACCAAACAGTTTTTTCTTGATGAAACGGACATAATTCATAGCCGCATTCCAAATTTGTGGAACTATTCGTGTCCGTTGTTTTTCTTACGATTCTAAAACAAATCAATTCAAGAACATCAATCCATCATACAGATTCCCACTCACTTTCGAGCCACATCAGCATCCATATTATAATAATCCAGTAGAAGTGTTGTTGGTACACTTGGTTGAATCGTCAGTGGATCAATACCTAGTCGAACAGCTGCATCACGCATCGCTGCCAAATCAATAATTGCTGGTAAACCCCTAGTTAACAAAATGCTTTCTCATCTGTGAACTTTTTCATTAAAATGTGACTTACGAGAAATCATGCATAAGAACTTGACTAGGTAAGAATGGCAGTTCACTACTTGGTAATGTGTTATGTTGCCAATTAAGAATTTGCTGCACGTGTTTATTTTCGATCGAGACATTATTACAATGACGAACAGTGGATTCAAGTAGAATTCGAAGACAGAATGGTAATTGTGCTAGAATACGAAGAAAAAAAATACATTGTTTTTTACACAATGAAACGAGAATGATTTCGTTTACAGAATATTTCTGGATTAATTTGGGATACATCGTAGTAGACATGTTCTTGATTATTGTGTTTGATAGATGTTCGTAAGGATTTATAGGGATGATCTTTTTCAAAACACATTGTTTTTTGTACTTATTTATTCTCACACGTAATAATGGAGATTATATTGAAGTACGTCTCCTGATTGTGCTTACCAAAAAAATACTTTTAATATTTGTTATTCGTCCTATCCAATCGAAACTTTTTTTCAATTGAAAATAATCCAAATGAATGAAAATAAATGTAGGTTGTCGGATTTTTCTTGTAAATTACGTCGTAAAATATTTCCGTAGTGTCATCTATGAAGTTCATTGATAATTGGTGAAGTGAATCGGCCAATGAAGAATGAGTTGAGAAAAAAAAGAAAAATAATAGAAGTCACAGAACTTTCATATGTTTGACTTATTCGATATGTCTTTAGAAACGACGAATACAGGTTCGAATGAATTTCTCTTTCGTTTCTATTTCAATAAAATTTCTTCGGCTACTTTTGTTTCTTAGATAGTGATGGTTATCAACAACAGTATGAAGAAAGTCAATCAACTAACGATAATAAACAAAATGAATTGACACGTTTAGAAGCAGTATTCTATTTACTCAATGGTAAACTTCATTTGCACGGATTTTCTATATTCTAGGATGCAGAAATGCCATTAGATGAATTGCTCAAGTTATACAAAAACGATGAATCAGTTAATGATAATGATACTTCTCAAGAAGACGAAGAAGTAGATTCGAGTGTAGAATAACCTTTCTAGATCTCATGTTTCCAATTTTTAGTCATACAGTTCATCAGAAGTTGAAGACGACGAAGATGACAGCAATGAAAACGAACGAAAACTTGGTCTGTTCCATGTCAATGGCGATTTATTGCCTGATTGCGATGACACAGAAGATAGTTTATACGAACCTGATTTCGTTCGAGTTTGTGTCAATCAGCACAAATCTCGTCGATAGGATGGCTCTTCTATTCTAGGTAATCAATATCGGAGAAGAATACCAAGCACATATCGAAGCAACAGTTGAATGTAGTTCACCTGATGACTACGCCGATAATCGTGAAAGTAAGGAACATATTTGTTAGATATCTCAACCAGAATCAATGCTGTATGGACGTTTTAGTACCAGACGATGAATTGCTTTGGTCATCTTCATTAGCAAGTGACACTGACGATGAAATTATCGATAAATATCTCAAAATCACAAATACTGAATGTAAAAACTTTCCTTTTCCTCACATCAAGTACTATATGTGTTCGTATAGATCCATCATCGGACGACGAAATATCGCTTCAGACATTTTTGAAGTGTCAATTCGACACTGATTCAGCATTAACTAAATTTCGTCAATTACCAATGAAAAATATCTGTAAGAAATTTGCTTTTGGTACTTTATTACACAAATAACGCTGAATTTAGACTCTTACCGTGCATGGTCATTAAATGAAATACAGCAATTCGAAGAAGGTTTACGTGAATACGGCAAAGATTTCAAGAAAATTTCTGTCTCAAAAGTAATTTTGCTCGTTTGTCATCAGTTATCACCTACTTCGATATTTTCAGTGCTCAACTCGATTCATTCCCGAAATAGTTTATTTTTATTATCAATGGAAGAAGAGCAAACACTATGAATTGTTCATCGAAGAGCAACGACATTTGAATCCACTGACTTCCGTCAGGTAATTTCGATTGTCTTTTCCTTTCTGCTAAATTCGACATTTTTGATTGCAGTCATATTATTGGGAAATTCATTGAAGAACAAGAACATCAATTGTGCTCTGTAGGCGGTGCAGTTGATTCTTCGGATTCCTCTTCGTTCCTCTCGAATGATTATAAAATCCATGCATCAATACCAGCCGATTCATCGATCTCATTTGTAACCATTCATCAACACGAAACTATCAGTTCCACAGCAAAACGAACGTTCGATCAAGTGGACAATGACGTTAACGAAGTCTCAGCAAAAAAACCGTCGTTTATTTCAAAGTCAACCATGGAGACAACGCCGACAATAGTATAGTGTTAATAAAACAAATCTTATTCGACACAAATAAAACAATTCTCGCACGTTTTTTGTTCCTATTTGTTTGTTTGATTGTTTCTGAGTATTTATATATCTGTATACATATAATAATTTTTTGTTGTTATTATGTTCTTCATTCGTTTGCATAAAAAGAGTAATTTATAAAAAAAAACAGATACAAATTATTTGCGTTTTGGTTTTCGTCGAATCGAATACTATCTTGCATTCACTAATCTGCTGCTCGTTATCATCAAGCTGAACTAAGAGATGAATGTCATGCCGCCTGGGAACGTTTTTTTAGTTGGACCTTCTTCATGATTATAATGTGAACATTAGCTGTTTTGTTCGCGACGAGACGCGCACTTGCGGATTTATACCGCCATCTACATTGCCATGCGAGTTAATCATACGTTCAAAATTCTCTTTTGATTCTCACAAATGAAATGTGGAGTGATATTTATTTTTGCAGTTGATGTTTTGTTCATCTTTGTTCGACTTTAAATATGAAAATTAAAATAAAAGAAAAGAAATCTTTTTTGACGTGAAAATAACTTTTATTTACATTTTATTCGAATAGTAAATGTAGGAGTCCATGTAAAGTATGAATGGCGTCGAGACGATAAACTATGGAATTGAAGTTGTTCTAATTAGAAAAAAAAACTGAGAGGAAACGATGGCGTATGTTGTCATTTATTCTATTGTTCTATTTCCGATTAAAATACAAAAAAAGATATTTTGATATATTTTAGATTATTCTATTCCTCTTTTTCTCTTCCAGAAGAAAAAAAAAACAAATTTTTCCTTATTATTTGTGAAAACACATTTCATCGTCGTGTTTTTCACACGTTTTTCTTATCCTATTATATTCTCGTGTGTATTGTGTGTATATATTAATATATCAGAATGAGCGTTGCAGCGGCCACAGGCGCCGTCAGCACGCAACATCATCAGCCAACTGCAGAACAAATTCGTCTGGCTCAATTAATTGATGATAAGAAACATGATCAACCAGAAGTACAAGACATTGTTCGAAAAGTTCTCGATGTTGTTGCCAATTCCAATCAAGAAGACGCTTTAGTTGCTTTGTTCGATTGTGACTATGACTATGAAAGGACTGTTGCGTTACTTATCGAAAAAGGCCATGATGTTGCTAGTGAATGGCGGACAGCAACAAATCATAAGACGACGAAAAAACAACAGCAGAAGATGGCATCAACTAAAAATGGACATGCTGGAGATGTAGATGAAAATGGATATCAACGAGGTAGGATTGCAATATCTGTAAAAGATATGGATTGGCTTTTGACGGATATACCATTCGATTGTTTAGATGGTGCTTCTTATCGGGGTAAATCACGTGGTGGTCGATCAAGATTTCAGCAGCAACAGAATGGAAATGATTCTCAAAACACTAATCAGCAGTCAAATGATAATAGTGTATCTCAATATAGGTCCCGAGGAGGAAGTGGTTATCGAGGTCGCTATCGTGGTAGTAATCGAGGTGGTCATCGTACGAATGATAGAAATAATGCACAGCAACATTATGAGCAGCAATCATACGATCCAAATGTTGATACATCATTACCGTCAGATACGACACAACGTTCTACTGATGTACCATATTCAAATCGACGAGGAGGTGCTGCGGACAATAATAGACAACAACGACAATGGGATGTTGGCAATTGGAATGGTGAAACAATGGTTTATTCTAGAACAGCTAAAGATATTGAACAACCTTTGAATTCCGAGGATAATCATGTATCAAATGCATTACATTCTTCATCAGGAGGTAATAATTACAGAATTTATTTTGTAAAATAGAATATTCATTTTTCTAGTAACCAATGGCCAATCATCGTTGAAAACGTCGTCGGTCAATAATGTTTCTGACCCAAATACGTCACAAAAGTCGAAAACAGAATTCGATCCGGTAGAGGCAACACGTCAGATTAAGAATGTTATTGGTATCGGTCAATTCCAACAGCAGCAACATCAAAATAATGCATTGCCTCAACCTCTCATGGACATAAAACCACTGATGAATGATCAACAAACGGGACAACAACAAAAGTCCAATACGATACCATCGAAATCATTTGGTCAAACTATGAACACAAAGGTGACGCCTCCTCCTTCTCAGCCACAGCGTATTCCACACCAACCCGTGATCTTTTCCGATCGTTTTGATGGTGGAATGAACAAGATTGACATACAATTCGGCAACCTTACCGAAACGTTAGAAGACACACCAGCGCGCAATCCACCAGTGTCAATATCACCGTCATCAACATCTGCATTTTATCAACGTTCGGAACCGATCACATCGATGTCACAACAAAATAATACTTCATCGACATTTCACAGCTCTCAACGACCAACGACATTGCAACACTCACAGACTGAACAATCTGCTTTTGTTTCACCATTGCCACATGCAAATTCAACTCGTTCATTTGAACAACAACAACAACCGGTGATGAATCAACATCGCGTTTTACCATCACAAGTGCAACATCCTCAACAGCAACAACAACAGCAGCAGCAGCAGCAACCATCATCGATGTCAATGAAACCTGTCGTACCAACACCATATGCTGTACATCCTTCGCAACACCAAATGAATGCATCCAATGTACTCTTACAATCACTACTTTTTCATCATCCACAACAGGAGGTAAAATTATTAGTACTTATAGTTTATACGCATCAATAGTATAAAAATTCTACTTATTTCAAATAGTCTATTCCATTGGATGCTCCATACGATCCAACAACGTTTCAGTTATCATCATTTGATTTTAATACACCATATTATATGGCAGCGATGAGTCAACAACCACCACCACAACAACAAACACAAGCGCGTTATCTTGTTCATCAACCATCGTTACAACCTCAACAGCAGCAACAGCAACAACAACAACCACAACAACAGCAACAGCAACAGCAACAGGCATCCAATCGATCGCAAACAACTACTAATAACAATATTCAAACATCAACAATGTCCAATTCTTCATCGTCACATCCATCTTCATCGACCTCAAGCACATTGCCTACAGCACCAAAGAAAGGACCTGCCGTTCCGCCAGGTATCTTTCTATCTACAGCACCGCCGACTCAACCAGTGTATTCAACGGCATATTCAGCAGCTTACGGTATTCCACCATCAGTCGGTGGACAGCAACAAACAGGTGCAACAACTTATTCAACGCCATATGACAACGAACAGTTATTCACAAATGCATTCATACAATTGACCGGTGCGCAACAGGCTCAATCGCCTTCTGGTACATATGGATCGGTCACACCACCTGTTCAACATCAAAATCAACAAACACATAATAATAATGATAACAAAGGAATGAAGTATGCCTATTCGAAAAATGAAAATAAACAATCATTAGCTTGATTTGTTTCCTTTAGTTACCGAGGACCAGTTAATGATGATCTTGTTTTATTACAACAATATCAACAATTTAGTTTACAACAAATGAACAGTCAACAACAAGGTCAACAAGCAGGAGCACATTCAACCGCTTCGCTAAGTTACTTTCTTGGTCATCCACCAAATGGACCAAGTTATTCGCCGGGTACATATCATCAAACTTCTTTTTTTCTTTTATAATAATAGAAAACTCGTAATTTCTTCCTCAGGTCCTCCAATTGTGTACGCACAGCCAACCGCCGCCATGCCACAGCAACAACAGCAAACGTCTAAACAACAGGGACAACACTATAATCAATCCAATTCTTCATCAGGTGCAGGCGTTAACGATGATTATTATAGTCGTAATTCATCCAATAACAAAGATGCACGCTATATGTACACAATGCCAACACAGGCACAACCGGTTCCATCCCATTCAGTTGGTCAACAATCAGGCATGAATAAACAACAGCAACAACGTAATGCGGGCAATGTCTACAATAATCAACAACGTTCATTTCAATAAACGTAAACGGTCGATGAAATGGCACATACGCAGAATATATATTCGTTTCCTTTTCCTTCTCCTCTTTCGTCTTTTTATGACTGCTGCTGTGTTAACTTACCTATGCGTGTCAGTGTGTTTCCTTTGACTGGTAACTGTGATTCGATCTTCGTTCTGTTCTTTCTCACACTGGGCACAGCCCTTTTCTGTCCGTTTTCTTCTATCTTAAACTTTTATGGTCTTGCTGTTGTTGAGTGCTTTTTTATATTCAGTTTGCACCATTCATTGTCTCACACAAAACAGAAATCACATATACAACCCACATACGTATATACATATATATATATATAAACAAACAAGTGCATCGTTGTCGTTGTTCATCATTTCGTTCTTCTCTTTTCAATGTAAATCCAGGCTAACTTTCTTTCTCTTCTTCTTCTCTCTTTCGTCGTTTATTTCTGTTGGATTGTTTAGGACTACTCTTTTCAACGTGAACATGAAACAAACTAACAAAAAATGTACAACATATAAAAACAAACAAAAACAACCTTTTCGAATGGTTCTTTTTATGATTGTTCATTTCTTGTTTTGGTTTTTTAGAAGACTTTCTTGGATTTTGCTAAGACCCAGACGACGAAGAGAGTGTGGGCCTTTCTCTACGCACGAAAAGAGACAATTCTCAACAAATCATTTTTTAATTAGTTTATTACCATCTCTCGATGTACAGTCGAGATTCAAGACATAATCATGGCACTAATTACAATAACTATGGGTATGTAGTTGAAAAGAATTGCACCATAAAGATTTTCTATGAGGTTGATTATGCGAACAGAAATGAAAGAAAATAGAGTTTTGCTTTATCGTGGACTTCTTGAATGTTCATTCGCATAAGTGAAATTGTTTGTTCAGATATCGCAATGAAGCTAGTACGAATCGAAACAATCAAAGACGAAATCATGTAATACCTAATGAACCACCATATACAGCTTATATCGGCAATGCACCTGAAACAATGGTTCAAGGTGATTTTGAACATCAGTTGTTCGTCGGTTTGAAAGTGAAACAAGTTCGATTGGTTCGCGACCGACAGACAGATCGGTTTCGAGGTAGGATTCCATGACTTAGTCATCTAGCTATTAACGCTTATATTTTAATCGAATACTAATTATTTTTTGTTTTGTCTTTAACACTGAAAAGGCTTTGCGTATGTTGATTTTGAGGATGCGGATTCCTTACGTAGTGCCATTGCATTGGATGGAACGGTACATAATAATTAACGAATAGAATGAAAAATAGAAGAGAAAACATTGTTCTTTGGAATATTTTAGTGCGTCAATGATCAACCGATTCGAATTGATGTAGCCAATCGACCGCTGAATATGACAAAATCTCAAGGTTTTCGACATAAACGTAAGCATAGTGTTTCTTTCTTACGAAAATGAATTTTATTCGATTTTTTAGCCGACATGGAATCTCATAATGCTTCGCGTCGTCCACAGTATGGTAATAACAATTACAACCGACCGACCGGTGAATCTCGCCAAGGTAGAAATCCGCAAGATCTAAACAACGTTTCTGATCGTGATTATCCAGATAGTAGACATACACAGGGTAAGATGAGATAATGCTATCTTTTCATTTATCTAAACGGAATAGCGTGTGGCAGTTTTGCATAGCGCAGCGTTGAGAAACTTACTACTAAGCATTCTATAGCCGCTTTGATTAATAATTTATCGTTTGTTTGATAATTTTTACTTTTTTCTCTAGGTTACTACGAGCAAGTAAATACAAAATATTCGTCGACAAACTTATATGATGGTAACGAACGAGAAGTTCAATCTCCGAAGGACGAAACATCGCGTAAATTATCGGACGACGTTTTCATCGCACCTGATACACCGATATCCAATAATGAAGACGAAAATTATGAAGAAGTGAATAGCACGGAGGAGAGACCAGATACAATTCGACAGAAGACTCGAAACTGGGCAGATTGTCCTATCGATGACTCTGTTACTGAATCATCTCCACCGCCGTCATCGTCAAGTATGAAGAGTCCTTCGTCGAACGATGATTTTCAAGTAAGAATATCATATACACTGCGCTGCTTTGCAATCGGAGACAATCGATTTTAGATTGTTCGTAATCGCACACCAAAATCTCGTACAAACCAGCAATCATCGGCACGTGGACGTCATACTGGAAATCACTATCGTGGAATGACATCTTCTCAAACATTCAGTCACAATCATGGTTATCATAATCTAATGTCGCCATCAATTCTGAATCAATCTCAACAAAGTTATCAGTATCCGTACCATAATAATCGACAGCGAATGAATAATAATCAACGAAATGAAAAGAATTTCATATCGAATAGTTATAGTACAGATGATTTTTCTGCGAATGCATTGGCAGCAGCGGGTAAATAAGGAAGTGATTCGACCGATAGCATTTCATACTTTTTCTATGTAGAAAATCGGCCACGTCTACAATTATTGCCGCGTTCACTGAAGGTTTCTTCTACAAAAAACGATAATACAACAGTAGATTTCTCATCTCGAAATGCGAACATATTCGGTTCTGGTAATTTGAAACGATCTTCCTTTTTCTACGAGCCGAGATCTATCCTAACATAGGTAAACCACGTGACGAACATGATCCGAAAATAGTCGAGTTGGACAAGCACATTGACGAAGTCATTGATAAAGTACAACAATTGTCTCGTACCACATCGACCACATCTAACGATGAATCGAAGAATGATGTTATTAAGTAAGTAGGCGACGAAACTAGAAGAATCTTATGCTTGTTAAGGGATATATTTCACTAGAGAAATCAGCAGAAAGAGTCTGGACGGGTCATGGGATTGTTGAGAACAAAAATCAAATGTTTTTATCTTTATGACTTCGCAGCCTTTGTGAGGTTTTAAAAGAAAAGAGAAAATACTTATAAAAGTTTCGATCTTTTCTAATGGAATAGTTCATCATTGTATTCTAGACCTGTGCGAATCTTATCGTCGAAATCTACGTCTTCAAGCACTCATTAATATTCAATTCTTCTTATCTATTTTTATCCATTTTATCGATATGATTTCCAATGTACGTCATATTTCTCTTCTATTCGTTCTCATTTTATTCCTTATCTCTCTCTCTCTTCCGTCGATTTTACTAAAACAACAAGAAAAACCGACAAGTTGGCCTCTCTCTCTCTCTCGTACATATAATCTTATTCAGCTGATCTTCCTTTATTCTTTTATGTTGTCATTGTTGTTGTCATGTATGTTCTTTCTGTGTACATACCGTCTTGTACAGTTTTTCTTTATCAAAAAGAAATTATGAATAAAACTACGAACATTTTCTTTCTTCTATTAATAAGAAAATTTAGATATAGTCTAATTTCTTCTTTGTTTTACTTAGAATTAATTCTTCTCAATGGCATCGACTGCTGTATCGTCGACGAACAAAGCCAAACAAGCAACAAATAATGCCACGACAGATGGCACACCCATAACAGAAGAAGAATTAAAGCAAAAAGGAACACCGATCACGGTTGATGATATCTTTCGACTGCAAAAGTCGACCAATGGTATGAATACAAAAATAAAGACCAAACACATTCATTCACAGAACCTCCTATTTGTAGGTTACTTGACTGAAACAGATGACAATGTATATAAAATCGACTTCGTTCATTTCCGTATTCGTGATATGAAAACAAACAAGGTTCTTTTCGAAGTTCAGCGAGAATGTGGTGAGACATTTCATATATCAATTTGAATCTTCTCATACTATTGTATGCAATAGATGAAGATGAAGCGATGGACAATGATGATCCATCAGCTGGTCGTTTTGTTCAATATCATTTTCCACCATCATTTCTCAAATTGAAACAAGTTGGCGCCTTGTAAGTACTCGCAAATAAGCACAAGGCACTGTTTCTAATTACTTTCAATGAAATCAAAAGCGTATGTTGTTGATAAACTAACTTTACTTTGTCGAAAGCAAATAATTACTCAATGTGACCTGTGCTTTGCTTTTTTTTTGTACAAATATTTTACAACTGCTGCGCTCACACGGCCTTCTCAGCTATGACAAATCCGTTTTCTTTGCAGGGTTGGTTTCAAAGTTGGTAATCGTGAAGTAAAATCGTTTCGAATGATTGAACGGCACTTTTTTCGTGATCAACTTATCAAATCTTTCGATTTCGATTTTGGCTTTTGCCCGCCAAATACAACTAATTCCATTGAACACATTTATGATATGCCTGATATCGACTCGAAACAAAGTAGAGTAGAGATCCTCCCTAAAGAATTCATTCGATATGTTCTTTTCGTATTTCAGTGAAAGAAATGATTAATCATCCGAATGAAACCAAATCTGATAGTTTTTATTTTGTTGATAATCAACTAATCATGCATAAGAAAGCAACTTACGCATTCGACCTTGATTATTCTCAATAATTTATTTTATTCTTGTTCGTCTTCACGTTTTCTTTTTTCTTAGAATCTGAATGTTTGCTTAACGTCTTGAACTGAATGCGTTTTTCTATTCGTGTATGAATTTGACGTTTCTCGCATCTTTATTTTGTTTTTCTATAATCACGATCTCGAATTCTTCTTTTAAAAGCCATATTTCTTCTATTTTTGATCATTCGAATCATGACCTAATGGACCAGTACGATTGTTTGAATAAAGCTCAATTGAGCTTTGAATATCTACATACCAATTCAACAACTCACACGTTTCTTTTCGGAGCATTAGCTGAGCTCATTGATAATTCACGTGATGCTGGTGCTAAAAATCTCGATATCTACACACAAAAGGATCCATCTCTACGCGGCGGATTTTATCTAGGCTTTTTGGATGATGGATGCGGAATGCATTATGGTGAGTGTCATTTCCACTCGCGACACCAAAACTCAATCGTTGATTTTAGACGACGTTTTTAACATCATTGTTTTTGGTAAATCAGCGAAACGTCATGCGCTCGATTCGAGTCAAATCGGTCAGTATGGTAATGGTTTAAAGTCCGGTGCTATGCGAATTGCAAATGATTTTATCCTGTTCACAAAGAAAGATAATATTGGTACATGTTTGTTTCTTTCGCGTTCGTTCCATCAGGAGGAACATATCTCTCAAGTTATATGTCCAATGCCTTGCTTTGATCTACGAACGAAACAACCTATTGAGAACACTGAGCAACACCAATTGAATGGCACCCGAACGTATACATTTGATAAAGCTAAGCATGAACTCGAAATGCATTTAATTATGAAATATTCGCCATTTAAAACAATGGACGACCTGTTCAAACAGTTTAATCTAATAACAACAGCAAGTGGCACTCTAATTGTTCTGTATAATATGAAATTATCTGATACTGGTGAACCTGAACTTGATATTAAAACTGATCCCAATGACATTCTAATTGATTCACGAAATCGACAGAACATATTCGATGACGATGATGACAAGTATTGAATTTCACTCTTTAGAAACGATTCTCTATGTTTTCTATAATTGTATTTCAGCACTCCATCAGAATATCGTTCTTTGCGGGCGTATACTTCCATACTCTATTATGAACCACGTATGCGCATAACCATTCAACGACGACGCGTGATAACAAAGCGATTGACATATACACTATACAAGCCTCGACAGTATCAATTCAAATCTACACGTTTCAAGACGCGTTCGGAACAAGAACTGAAGAAGTGTGAAAGAGAGCTCGAGTCATTGGAAGAACGTAAACGGGAAGCGGATTCGCAAGTTCATCACTTTCAGCAAACGATCGGAGCGACAACATCTGTCGAAGAGCGGGCACGTTTACGAAAATTACTCGTCACCGCAGCGGAATTGAAAGATATGACCACGCGCTTACGAAATGGATTGACAAGAAAAAAGTCGGAAATGAAAACAACGAAAACTCTGACGTTTATTTTTGGTTTGAACATTCACAATCGAGGTGCTGATGGAGTGTTTGTTTATAACTGTGGACGACTGATTAAAATGTATGAGAAAATTGGTCAACCAAATAAGAAGACGGTGTAAGTTGTGGTGCATGATATTCATGCGATTGTACTATTTTTCTTGCTCGAGTAATTATTCGATGAATTATACGGATGAATCTGTTTGTATATTAAAGGTACTGTCGTGGCGTTGTCGGTATTGTTGACATACCATCGATTGTGCTCGAGCCAACACACAATAAGCAATCTTTTGCTGATGAAAAAGAATATCATTTTCTGTTGAAAAATATGGGTGATTATATGAGACAGTATTGGTCGGATGCTGGAATTGAAAATTATGTCAAAGAGTTTTGGGAAACCTATGGTAATATAATGATTTCTCCCCTGTTATCAATGATCTTATTCACTATTCTTTCTGAAAGGTTATCGAGATGATCAACTTGATCGACCACCATCCAATGAGCCTGAAGTCGTTAAGCGACGTCAAGCGGCCATCCCAATGCTTATTCAATGTGATAAATGTTTAAAATGGCGTCGATTGCCCTACGCAGGAAATGCCACCGCTTTAACGCAAGCTCAATTGGAAGTATGGCGCTGTTCAGATAATACAGATGTTATGAATCAAAAGTATGGACGGATCACCTTTTCAGTGCAAAAGAACTAAGATATTCTTTTTCGTTTCCACCAAACGCGTGTTTTAGCTGCTCAGCAAGTGAAAAACTCGATACTATACCGGAAGGCGAATTGAAGCAGAAACCGACAGTGACAAACGTACAAAATCGTACATCCTCGAAAGCAGTTTCACCACCACCACCAACTTCGTCATCCTCGTCGTTGACCACTCGATCGGCCGCAGTAAACAAGCGCATTTCTAATGGCGAAATCTCGTCAACTACTGCTACAGCTGTAAGTAACAATTTTGTACCCATTGATTTCCTACCGTGTTATTGTAGACTTCGAAACCGGTTACAATTACTCCTCAGAAACGTTCGATACCACCGTCGCGTTCACTGTCGGCAAAAGCCAAATCAGCTAAGAAACGTAAACGACCTGCATCTCAACAGTCGAAAAAATTGAGAGCAAAATCCAAAACATCTAAAGCTGTCAGCGATGACGAAGATGAAGAAGAAGAAGACGATGAAGAGGAGGAGGAGGAGAAGGAAGAAAATGAAGAAGAAGAAGAAGAAGAGGAAATTCCGTCATCTGTAAGCAAACGTACGCGTGAACAAGCAGCTGTAAAAGCCGCAACAAATGCTAAAAAACCAATACCAGCATCACCAGCGCCAACGTCTACTCGAGTATGTCCAAAACCTACCCGACGAACAGAAATTCTTGATGCATACGTCAAAACAATAGCAAACAAAGATAAATCTAATGATCATGTTTTTAGGCATCACGTTCACTGGAACCAGCTAGACAGCCAACAGCTTCATCAGATTCTGTCTCATCAACAAACAACGTTCGTACATTGAGTACTGATCATGATAATAACGAAAGGCTTGAAATTACGGATGCAAATGCCAACAGTCGTCTTCCACCGCCGACAATTGGTGCGCGCGTCATGGCTATGTATCAAGGTGCTCGTCGTCCCGGAACAGTTATAACAGTCAACGATAAACGTGGTCTTTTCAAAATGCGTTTTGATGAATTTCCCACAGCAGAATTTGATTATTCGTTTAATTATAAATCATCAGCTTGGTCGTACATTCCTACGACTCCTTCATCATCAATAACTGAGATAACGACAAATACTACAACTGAAGATGAACCTCTTTTTACTATTGCAAGAAAATTCAAAGCTTTGATTAAAGTAAACAATGTTCATCAGACTAGAAAACGTTTAAATCAACGCGTATCTTCTCTTCTCTAGTTTATGCTACCACCAGATTGGGAATTAACACGCGAACAAATCACAACTATGTCTTATGATGAACTGAGTCAATTTGATGTCGAAGTCTTTATGCAATCTTATCGAGAGAAAATGACACGAGTAACCAACTAGAATTCCATGTTGTTTTCCATTCGTCATTGACTTCTGATTTCACTAGATTGTGGAGCAACGCAAAGCCGACGAAGCACGATGGCGAGCGTCAGCTCAGCGCATTCAAGCTGAAGTCACTGGGTTACTCAATTTAAGTGGAATGGTTCGTTGCCATCATCTCTTTTCCACCCGTATTGATCGTTCTATTTTAGCCTATTCCCGTTGATTGTTCAATGGATGATTTTGAAAATCGTATTCAAAGTTACGTCCGACAGGCTGAAAAACAATAGAATACATCGTCTTGATCTCATCTAAGCTTCTATTTTTTATATAATTTTGTACATAAAGTGTGATTTAACCTGGAAATATCCTGATAAGAAAGAAAAGTATCGCTGTTCCTGTTGTTATTCTTCTTTCTGTTCGATTGGTGATTAGTTCTTTTGTTTTCGATATGGTCTTTCTTTTCGTATGTTGTGTTTTTTTGCGATATTTATGTAATTGTCGAGATCAATAATGCGATCAAACTTCTAATACGTTGAATTCAATCGACATAAGCAATGCCGAGGTCGTCTTAAAGTATATGCGTGTGTATTAAGTGTATTTCGTTGTTATTCTTGTCTTTTCTGCTTTGTTTTTCTCTTTTCTCTTATGATAAGAACAGACTGAACACATTTCGAAACGAAATATAGAATTATATAGTATGCTGAGAAAAGGGCAAACTCATATCTTCCGCTGCGCAAAAACTCATAAGAACGGAGAAGTTCGTCGTAGAACTGAATGAAATCAAATCGAAAAGAAAGTAAGTCCTGCTTTTGTACTGACATTTGCCATCTAACTGACGACTTGTTGCAAAGAAAAGCTCGATATTTTTTATGAGTTTATATATTTACTGTAATTTCGTTTATTGATGATTGTTAAATAATACATTATGTATAAAATCATTCGAATGTTTATGGTTTTCGCTCTGCTGTAAAACGAAATAACAAACTATGCCAAGATTTATTTTTTATTACACTTCAATGGATTCTTCTTCATGAAAAAGATCTTTTAAAATAATTCCCGTATCATTTGGATCATAGATAAAGTCGAATCTCATCGGTGTACCTGTTAACATTGCTAATGTACCATCTAATAAACAAGTTACACTATAAATTGGTTCATTCATGTGTTTAACTTTAATATCACCTGTATCTCCATTGACATGCCATAATTGTTGTTGCTTATGATCACATAGAATGTACGAATTTGAAGTGAAAAACAAATTCGTTAGACAACAACCGTAACGAAACTGTTCGTATGTTGTACGCAATTCGAACTTAGCGAGAAGAGTAAACTCTTTGGCGGTACGAATTTCTAAATGTGTACATTGATTAGTGATGTGTTCAATTAATAAGCCTAGACGTTGAGTTTCGATTGTCGAATGCAATGCACGTAGACGACCATCGATTAGGAATTGAGATTTGATTAGGAAATTATTTCCTGTGATTTGATAATATATAAACGACGTTGACGGTGTTGCTGTTTTATTAACCGTATCTGTCCAGTAAGCATACAGGAGGCGATCAGTTGCACCACCGCAGGTGAGAAAGTTTGGCCAACATAGATGACCTTGAGTATCTGACCAAGTTGTCGTTTGCTCGATCGGTATTCGAATGTGAATTCGTTGAGTGTCGGGAACTTTATCATCCACGTAACAGCCATAAATATGTGTACGACAAGCCACAAATAACATATTCATTTCGTCGAACCAATAAACAGCTGACGGTCGCGTTCCAAGCCATTTGATTGTTGTGGGAAGAGATACTAAGGATTGCGAATCATAACAAACAAATGCTTCGCGATTGAGACAATATATCAATAATGAACCTTGACGATATGGAGTTAGAAGCGGAATAAAATAGTTACCGAAACCAAGTGGATAACTCCATTTTTCTAAATTAATCAATGGAGTTTTGGATGCATTGTGTAACGAGACGTGGTATTGACCACAATCAGCTTTCGAAACGTTATCATATTCATCGGTTACATCTGTAGATGTAGATGTTTCTAAAAAGCGAAAACTCGATAGATCGTTCGATTCGATAAGCATCATCAACAGAGTTCTACCTACCAAGTGATAAACTTCGCGCTATTGGTGTAATATCTCTAGACGAATCATCGTTATCGTAACGATCTGTATGAGCGAGTTTTTTCGAAGGTTTCTGATCACATTGAATAAAGAAATGTTGATCTAATCGATCTAGATGATTTAGTTTCATATGATACTTCGGCAACACTTTCTCGTCTTTCATTGTTTGATTGAGTGTCTGTGTAGTTAACATTTCTAAGTAACGATATTTATCAACATCAAACGCATAATCGTCATTATCATTGTCATTAGACAGATTCGGAGTAAAGTTTTGAATCAGTTCTTGTCGAACTTGCTTCAAACGTGCTTTCAGCTCCTGCAGATGTTGGTCGTAATTGGCATAAGTCACTTTGATATCGTGTTCATAGTGACGATAACATTTTTCGACGTGTTTACGAAATTGATTAAATATTTGATCAAGACCATTCAGAGCACGTTCTTTTTCGATTTCCGCATCTTGCCCGAGGAAACTTAAATTTACAAGTGATTCATCTATACTCGATGTTAAACGATTGACCATCGGATGACGCGTCGGTGGAATCGGAGGTTTATCATTATCATGATCGGCTCCAATGGTAATCTAAAGTTCGTAATGAAGACCAGAAAAAAAACAATTTCGAACGGGGGGCTTTTTTTCTCCAGATATCTATTTACCTGTGTTATATGCCGTCCAGGTGATGATGTTATGGATTGAATGGAAATATTTGAATCATTTTTACTATCTTTGATTAGAGTAGGATTGACATAAGATTTAAATCGGGACATAATCAGGTTGATGAGACGTATGATCTACGGATCGCTGCAATCGTTGGCTCTAAGCTCAGTAGGTCTTTGTATGTACGTTTGCTGGATATGAGAAGCGCGAAGGAGAATAATAAAAAAGAACTGACAAAAAAAAACAAGTTTCTCTTCCTTTTTTCTTCTTCTTCTTCTTCTTTCTTTTTTTTGGCTATTGAAAAGAGAAAAGATCGAACAGGTGCGTTTTGCCTATTAAAAAAATGTAAAAAAGGGATGACCATAGATATTCTGAGAGTTTTCCTTCTTTGCTCTTTTACATTAATTCAATATCTTCGGATTAGAAGACGAATCAATTGTTGACAATTATCAGACAATAAATCATCGATAATCGCCGGAAGAGTTTTATCCTCTGACAAATTAATGTTCTCATAGATTGTTAGCTCTTCATGCTCTTCTTCTGCCCACCACTAACATCATCATCATTATCATCATTCCATATCCTATTAACGTTTACAGCTGCTAAACGGGAAACTAACGAAACAAACAAGTGTACGCCTGTTAGACAAGCCAAGCAAGCAAACAGTCCTTTCCCGAAGGTCGACAAAAAAAAAGCAAGATTGATAATATTGTAGGGAAAAACGGCATATACAATTACACGGTACACTTCATTTCTCTGCTAAGATACAAGTTATCATTGATCGTCTATGAGCAGGACGAAAAGGAGCATGCGAAAATCATTACATCGTGATATCCATCAAATTGATTGCGCATATTTTTTCAATATTTATGATCATTTGCTCTAATTAGTGCATTGAAACAATAATAACAGTTGAGAAATGTCAAATTGAAAATCAAATCAAACTATTCTATGCTTGACATACTACTTCTATGGTCATAGGAATAGATCTTTCTCTTTTCTTTCGCTTTTTTTATTAAGATAAGATTTAGAACCTTCTCAATTTCAAGGTTTGTTCGTCTAGGTTAGAAGTCGTCGTGTTGAAATAAAACACCATCTTGATGAATAATATCGCTGAAGATGTTCTTCGAAATTAACACATCGCTTCCGTCTTCTTATCTTCGATCGTTGTTTATCACATGGACGTTCCTTTTGTGGCATTACATTCGATGGCAGGACTCTATTAGAGATGGATGTATTTGACTTGGATGATAGATGAATATCTCTTTGAGCATGTAATGACAGTTGTTTATGATGTTCTCGTAACTGTCTACTATTCAACCATGGATTAATCCAATGACGTTGTAGAGGCGGATTAGGAGATTTTCGAGCAACTGTTGGTAATTGAGAGAATTTTACTTGTTTTGATCTTGATGAGATCGAAATAGATAAATTGTTCTCTATTGACGACTTTTGGATTAAACATATGTTTATGTAAGAGATTATTTAGTTAATAACCTACAGATTTATAGATAATTTGATTTTTTTGATCGTTGCTGAATCGCCAAGATGGTATTAGATTCTTTTCAATTAGAGAACGTATTTGAAATCCATATTTAATTGGAAGATGATTAGCATAGAACGATGTGTTCTGAAAGAGCGAAAGTATATGTTATTTATGGGGTTAATAACTTGCTTCTGCAAAAACATAACGATGATGATCATCATCATATGTATGTGATTGTTGTGGTTCTAAATCTGCCTGTTGATTGGTTTCATATATTTTGTTTGTTCGAGCTCTTTTAAACGAAGTATTTACTAATTGTTTGGGCTTTTTTCGTGATCGCTTATTCTCTAACGCAGCAAAGTTCCGGCAAGGTACTGACTTCGTTGATGGAGTATTTTGCAATTGTGTATCGTAGTCAACGTTTGCTTGTTTAGAGTCATTTTCAATTGATTTATCGAGATTAGAACGCCGTTGAATGACATGTAACAATGATACTAGAGGATCGTTTTCGTCCAGTAGCATACAGACGTCAATAAGTATTGTTTGTCTCCTCAATTTACAATTACTATTTAAAAAAGAAATTTCGCACTCGATTTATTCAAATTAGAAACCATGGTTATACTTTATATGAAATTTAATAAAAATAAATATACATCTTTGATCGATGGCATTTATTCAACGAAAAGATAGGTTGTCCAGGGTTGACTATCATTCAGCATATCCTACTCTGTATCCATTATCTTTACCTGCATCATTTGATTGCTTTTTAACGTCAATAAGTAAACTGCTTTCAATGAGCAGGTGAAACACTTAAATCGATTTTGTTTTATTTTTCTAAGTATAATATTATATCATTTACTTGGATGATGGTTATGCATCGACTAGATATCACAGAAAAAAGAACGAGTTGATGCTCGTCCGTTGGTTGGCTTTGCTTCAGATCTAACTTAATACCGGTTACCTTTATGAAGAAGGATACTCATGATCAAAGAACTCGATTGTACTGTTAGGAATCAGTGTCTAAAGGAAGGGGTAGATTCTTTTGGAAAACCAACGTTTTTTTCAGAGATTGCCAATTGATACAACGAATATCATAAAATTCACTTCTCTCATTGATTTTGCTTCAGTACCAGTTCAGAAGAATGATTTATTGTTACGCACTCGATTCGACATATAATCATACCAAGTAGTAACCAGTAGCATCCAGTTCGTTATTAATACATATATCGCTAGTGTACAAGCGTAATCGTTCAACAAAGTCTTTCTCTCGGGCCAATATATAAACAAGAAGCATTAATAATAAGAATATAGAAGAAAATTTGACTGATAATCGTCTACATATAGATTTATTTATCTGTTCCATAACCATTTTATTTCTGATCAGGTTAGGAAGAAATGGAAAACTAATAGAAAACAATGTGAGCTACTATTTTGAATAATAATCAAATATGAGCAATATGTTACTTTCTCATCTTTCGTACATACTAGTGTGAAACTCAAGTTGAAGAATCGATAAGATTTTTGCAATTTCATAGTTGAATAATAAACTGTTTGTTACACGAAATCTGACAGTATAATAAAGCGAATAAAATGAAAAATACAACACAGAAATGACTGAAATCCTAACACACCATCGTTCGACGTCTGTCTAATCCGTGACTAGTTTTGAATATTTGTATCACTATCAATGGACTTATTTTCTCTCAGATGATGCAAACATGAAATTTATTTAATATTGTGCAACGTTATGGAAGAATCCGTATTTCGCAATAGTGCATTGCCACGTTCTGTAGTGAACGACGTGTTTATTGTGGACAGAACCGAACATGAGTAATAATATATAAACAAAACTCCAACTATATACATAGAACAAGGTGAGAATTCTTTGAGAATACGTCATAAGGAAAATCAATACATGGAAAATTCTTTTATGGAAATTTCCAAGGAAGTAAGAAGAGAAGAAAAAAATGGCACCCATATATCTACTCAGCTTTTCCCAAAGTATTACACTCATTTAAGGTAAATTACTTGTTAATTTTTAAATTCACGATTGTAGAAAGAAGCACCGCTTGTTGCAATATCATTTTGGGATTTCTTTCCTGGTGTATCTCAAGTTAAAAGTTTAGTTCATCTTGCCGCTGGTGATGAAGAAGGTGCTATGAGAACTCAGGAGAGATTTGTTACGAAAACTCCTATTGTTTCTCATTGCACGACCGGTATTGCAAAAGTATGCGGTGACGATCCTACGGCTAAACAATGCTGGGAAGGAGGAAATAGTAGCTTGAACTCCTTTCCTGTGGTTGGACACACCAAAGGTTTACTACATTATGCCGTTGGCGACGTGAAAGGTGGGAACAAAGCCATGGGAATGGCTACAAGTACCTCACTTAATATGATGGATTCGGTTCCAGTCGTTGGTCATGTTAAGGCTGCGGTTCATTACGCTTTGGATGATAAAGAAGGCGGTGATCATGCCATGATATCAGCGACCAGGACAACGACAGTTACGACAGCCGGTGGTCTTGGATTTGTAGCAGGTGGCCCTGTTGGAGCAACGGTGTTAGGTATCAATGCGGGTATAGGATATGATTGTGCAACTATGGCTGTAACCGATGGTAAACAAGTGAACGGAATCTGTCAGATTATTGAGAAGCCCACTGACGTAGACTCGTACTTCAACGCAGGTATGAGTATGGTTGGCGATAGTTTGACCGGCTATGCAGGCGGTAAGGTAACTGAAAGATACACGAAGACTGCAGAAATTTCAACAGCAGAAAATTTAAGAACTATTCGTCAGAAAAATGGTTTTGCAGAGAATAGCAATGTTGCTACAGGAGAAAATGGTAAAGAGATTTTCTATGAAGCAAAGGATATGCAAACAGGTAAAGCTTATTCTGGTGTCAATGAAAGTGTACGTAAAATATATGCTGATCCTGCTCCACGCCCTAACAAATTTCTTGAACAGCATCCGGATATTGAAACTCCGCTTAAACGGCATCCAGCCAGTTGTGCTGAAGCATAAGCACTTCATAAAGTAGTGGACAGTCAATCTGATCCCAATTTATCCACTGCACAGGTTCGACTTACTACCGTGGAAGTTAGATCCAATGGTGACATTTATACGTTACCACGTTGTGAAAACTGCACTGCTTACAAAGATGTTGTCGGATCATGCACAACTGACGTTACGGTAAGATATGCGCATTCATATAAATAGTCTGTTTCCTTATAACATTCGCTCTTATAATGTTCATCTTATCCTTATTGTAGCCATTTCAAGTTCCAAGAAGCAACGAATATCTTACGAAAGGTGGGACTGCCTATGGCACTGCAGCTACTGTAGCAACTAAGCATGCAGGACGAAGACATATTGATTAGTCACACAATATTATTGAAAATCGTTTTTAAATATCGAAAAAACTTACTCTTTATATATTCAATAAACACTATTAATCGCAGACAAAGCACTGTCTTGACTTAATTTGCTAATAAAACTTTCCACTTGGTCAATATCCATACGTTTCACATGATGCAATGCATTTAGTTGCACGTGACACTTGGTTAACTCATCTATATTTAATTCATTTTGTAAAATTTGATGCACGAATTGACGCCAATGAGAACATAACATATCTGATATGCGATGCTCAGCTGCAAGTTTTTGAACGTAGAATTCAAATTCAATTGCATGAGTGATATCGTTTAGTATTAAACGATAGAATTGAATCGATTGATACCCATTTCTGTCTGACAAATATCGTTTACCTATGAATAATTGTTAGATATTTGACAGCATTCTACGTTTTCCTGGTTTCTTGTTTACCTTGATATTTTAGTATATCGTCAGTGATTGATTTCATTCGTGGACAAGTCCATCGATGAAAACGAGCGATTTGATTGAGTCGATTTTGTATTTCTATATATGTACCACTATCAAGTTTGTCTTCTTGTTCAAGTTTTGATAAATGTTTCGCTATATGTTCTACATCTGGATGATTCAATTCTAAAATGAAAGGCCAAGTTTGAAATCTGTTTTGTGCTTCATCTATCGACAACGTTTGTTTATCAGAAAGAAAGTGTTCAGTACAGAAATCAACGAATGCCTTATCCTACGAACATGGATTTTGTTCATTAATGCACTAAATATCGATGATGGTTTTACTTGTAAACAGCCTAATTCAGCCATATGCTTGAGAAGATCTTCGAAATAGTCTTGTTTTTCAGGGTACCATGTCTGGATATTCTCAAGTATTGTGTCTAACTGTTGATCTAACAAATAGTTTCGTGTATGTAAACGTGATATTCGCAGGAAGTGTTTATGTATCTGTACAATAGCCGTCAGCGATTGTTTTTTATTAATTATATTTCCTGTTTTCAAAATTTCTTTCACTTGATTATAAAATTTGTAATTCATTGTTGGGCCGTATAACTCCTCGACTAATAATCGATCGACACTAATCTGTGTACAAAACACCATTATCTCATTGAAACGTCGTCGGACTTCATCGGGTATTCGTTTAGTATTGCTATTCGATGAAAATAAGACTCGTTGTATATCACGTTCTAGAGAATACAATTCAGCAAAAGAACTTGAATGCGATGAAACAAGTGTTTGGAAATTTTCAATCAACTTCGGATAGATTGCTTGTTGACGATTGTATTCTAGTCGAAGATTTGTAAGAAGAGTTTTGATATCAAAACTTGTTATTGGTTCTAGTTGGCATAGATTCACTAAACGATCGAGCACGTACCAGACTTGTCCATGAGTTAGATTTTCTAATTACAAATAAAATCGATTTAGTGTATCGATTAAGAGCTTAGCAAAAAGTTTCGATCGGTTTCATACCTTCGACAATCATCTGATTGAGAAAATCATTCAATTCAGCGAGATCAAGATGATCATAGGTATAAACATAGCTGACAGTTTTCATTTGGTCTAATTTAGTCTTGATTGATCTTACTGTTATGCTATCATGATCTTTAGCTTTGTGTAAGTCAGTCAAGATATAGTCAATTTCCGGCGTGTACAATATCCCTAGTTGAGCAAAGTGTCGCAGGTGTTGAATAAAGTCACATAGATATTGATTAGGAAGATGACCTGTACTTGATTGTTCATGAATGAAAACTAGTAATGATTGAAGACCGTTGTTGTCATTCATATCGACGTATTCGCGAGGAGATCGTTCGAGAACTGTACGGACAAAAGTATTCAATTGTCCGTGAAGAGCAGCATTCATTGAAGCAGAGATTAATTTATCAAAATTCTCCTTGGTTTTCGATTCTAACATCACTTTTTGTGATAAAGAATTCAATTGATTCGTCAGAAATGTTTTCTTCACAAATGTTTTTATATTTACTGTTTGTTGGTCGTTGGGCTCAAAAATGATTCTACCAACAATATACGATCTTTCCCGAGAACAACATCTTTCTCATGTTAATGTTTATCGCGTTGATTTAGATGAGCACACGAATCAATCGACACAATATTTGAATATCGTTCGTAAAATTGATTGTTTTCTGAACATACATCACTGTTCTCTCGATAAATAGACAACAATACCGACCGTTCAATGGTATTTTCATGGAAATAAAGTTGATGAATTGATCGGCGTAGATACTGAGCAATTGATCAATAAAACATACCATTATGCTAAAGTAATACTTGACATTTTTTTCGCATTTGAACAACGTGAATCTATGGTCTAGATTTATAAACACAAAACAACTTCCGAACAATTGAATAACACAAATTTCTATGATGATAAAATTATTTTCGAATAGGCAAACAAACTTCATGATCAATTACGAACGGGTTTGACTGATAGAACAACACAAACTACATATCAAATTTCTATTTCGTCTAGAACGAAAATCAACATTCGATCATTTGTATTCTCTCATTCATTCAACTATGTATTCAAATCGAAAACTAGTTATCGATTTCTTGGTTTCCGTCTTCGCTACATTCATCTTATGTACAACCATATTGTCGATTTCAACAGCGAACTGGAATATCGATGCAAATCAGCATCGTATCGGTCTATTTCAACGATGCTTACATAAATCATCCTGTAATATCAAAGAATTGCACCGAACAGTAACATTATTAGCATTGTTTACAGTTATTCTTCTTGTAACCAGTACACTTGCGTCATTTCTAATGATGGGTTCAACAACGGATCGACAAAATCGATGTTATATACTTGTACCACTAGCTTTATTCGGTGCAGGTACTGCAATGACACTATTATTTATGAAAGTTCATGAACAAATCTATGTTAATAGTTACTCTGCATTCATTTTTCTCATTGATACTGTGCTTACTCATGTGCTAGGCGGTGTTTCAATATTGCATGGTAGCATGTTTTATTTCTAATCGATTCGATAGCAGAGAAAATGATAGTGTCTACATGTAAACAATAGTTTTACTTTTGTCAGTGAATGATGAATAAATTAGAGTAAAAGATAGAAGAAAAGATTTATCATGATGATCGTTGCCGAGGTCGTAACAGTTGTCGATGTTTTGTTCAGTAAAGTAGTGTTAAAATTGTCTTTAATGTAGCTAGTGGTTTCATTTTTTATTCTGACACTGCAAGATGTGTTGGTAAAGCCAGGTATGAGTCCACATTTCTTCGGATACATTCGATAACATTGCTCGAATGAACACGTGGTTTCGTTACAATGATCAACGGAGAAAACCAATAGATGTGAACGGCAGTCTTCTCCCGGACAACATTCACATTGACATTGTGGTAACTTGGATGAACCGAATGCTGAATAAGTTATTATTAGTGTAAAGAAAAGATGTTTTACATCGAATAGTGACATGTTGAGTGAAGAAGAAACGAAGAAAGATTTGTTATTTATAGGCGTGGTTTAAATTGATTATACAGAATAGCTTGACCTAATCCTTTAATATCCGTTTTCACATATATTTTCAACATTGTATGTGAGTAAAACGATAGTTTATTGTTATTCGATATATACATTAACATGTACAATTTCAAGTCAGACGAAATCGAGAGATAAATAAACTGGTAATCCAAAGTGATTTTGCTCTCGACCGTAAACAATCGAATGTATATTCAAATCTTTTGTTACTTATTTTATTCGAAAAACGTACAAAGCAACTTTTGATGACTATCACCTTTCCATCTCAACACTATATATTTCTATATACAGTATTATAGGAATATGAAAATACTGAAAATTTGTTTCGCATGTAGAAAAAAAAAGGGGAAAAGGAGCGTTCCATTACATCCGAGTAACATTTTGCACATCAACTTGATATCGAGCACGAGCTATTTCTCTGTCATCTTCACCGATATGTACTTTCATTAATTTACTATAACCGTGATACACCCACGCCCCAAGTAATGCTCCAAATACTGGACCTACACATGGAATCCAGAAATAGTAATTACCGACTGAAAACACTTCTCGACCGTAGCCCACGCACAATGTAAATAAACGTGGACCAAGATCACGTGCTGGATTGATTGGAAAACCGCAATTGTAACCTTTAGAGATAGAAAAAAAGATGAAATTATCCATTCTCTCCTTCTTCTTCTTCTTCATTACCGAAAGCAACACCAATAGCAACGATAATAAATCCGACCGCCAGTGGAATTTGGGCATTAGCTACAAGTTTATTTCGTTTGTTTGATAGTGCACAAATAGCGACGAGTAGAAGTGCTGTTGATAGAACTTGATCAAAGAAAAGCGATACTTGACTAACATGCTGTGCAGGTAATGTGCCAAATATGCCCGCAGTTGCCTGCTCACCTTGCACCTATATTTACATTACCATGTTATTCCTCAGTCAAAAAAGAACTGAAATCTTCCGTTATTACCTGTCTAACTCCACCATCAAATCGATTGATTGCATCATAATATGTTCCGAATACTAATCCTGCCGCAATAAATGCACCAAGGAATTCTGAGGTATACAATCATCCTTTCTATCACTTCATTTATCATGACAAGAAAAACATACGTGATACGATATAGGTGAAACATTGTAACGGTGTAATCGAGCGTAAACTTAACATGGCAATAGATACAGCTGGATTGATATGAGCACCTAAGTATTGCCAGTGATAATTTTTTTTTGGTTGACGCAACAGAAAATATGTAAAGTACATACCTGATACGGGACCAGCAACATACACAGCGATCAAAGCTCCGAAACCGAAGGCAAAATTGACTGATAGAAAACTTGCGAGAACACCACGTGAGAGTGTGTATTGAGCAATGCCTGAACATCCGAACAGGACAAGAATAGCGGTACCAAATAATTCGGCAATACATTCAGCACACAACCGAACCCATGGACTTCGAGAAGGAACAGCATCCAAACGAATTCCTTCAAAGATGGGTCGTTCAACTAGAATATTGGAAAAACGCAACAATAAGTGATGTACTCTCAGTCAAAGTCATATTTTCGGATTGAATAGTAAATTAACTGAACTTCCGGTATTTATTCATTGAGGCAAGTAGTTTAAACTTCTTGATCTATCTTTTACAAAAGCGTTAGATTTCCTTGTTTTTATGAATGTACTTAGAATGAGCAAGACGAACATGTTATTTAAGGACAAACATCATCAGAAAAATCTAAATAAAGCATGACACAGCCTCATCAGTAGAACGAATGTTGTTTACTAGCTCGATTACTGTTTTTCGTGCACAGCTATTCATTTGTCATAAATGCTTGTGTTTTCGAGAAAAAATATATGATAAATATTATTTCCCATTAAACGTCCTTGATTAATTCGTGAGTCAATTATACACTTTTGACATAAGGACAGGCCTACGTTCATATGTCATCCTTCTAACAAAACATAAAAATATTTTCGTGTTATGTTTTTTACCTGCTTCTACGGTAGAATTTGGCTGCGGGAGTTCAATACTGGATTCTCCACTTCTATTTGAATATACAGATGATTTACGTCGTTCACCAAGACTGATTGATTCATGACGAGATGTTTTTGACTGTCCGTTGAATTCGATGTCTGAACTTTCATCGACTGGTTCATTCGGCGTTAGAAATCCAGGGCCATCAGCAATCTCACTGATGCTGCGTCTGTCCGGTATAGCGTTTAGCATTCGACTGCTTGAATATCTATATATATTGAGTAAATATCCAAACAAAGGAGAACAATGGATAATTTTATCAAGATATGATGTATAAATACAAGACGAAAAACATAACGTATGAATATATACAAAGAAAACAAGATGATGATGACGATGCGCTTGCTCGAGCATGAGAAAAAAAACTAAACAAATATCGATACAATACCTATTCACTTTCGCATTGCACTGCTCAAATGGAGATGCACTCTTTGTCTACGATCAGTATAAATAAGTAAATAGACAAAAATATCGGTATTACACCTAAAATGAACCATAGAAAAACGAAAGAATGATATAATCCCATGTATTTCTTTGTTAGAAAAGAATATGAATGTCAAGCTTGTGTTTTGTCTAAGACAGAGTGTTCAAAAGTTCATATTTAAGTCACTAAATGAGTAAAGATATGAAATAATCTTTCAGCTGATCTCCGTATATTTTTGTCATATCGTTTTTCTTTCAAGAGACAAGCAGTATGATCGTTTAAACATCGTAATAAGACATTTTATTGTAGCAAAAAACAACAAAGAATAATGGTCAAGGACGATATTATTGAAAAAACAACTGTACTAGTTCGTTTTGTTTTCTTCATACGAAATTATTTATTGAAATTGCGACTGAAAAATCACATGTATTGGTTATGTTAGCGTTCGCTATTCACTCATCGAAATACTGCTGAATGTCACATCTAAACGATAGTTTTCCTCTCGTATTTCCTCGACGCGTCATGTTTCATTTGAACAAATTGTGTGTAGAGATATGCAACGAGGTAACTCATGTCCATATCGGTGGAAATTCCATGTAGAAACTTTAATAATAAATAACCATCTCTAGAAAAAAAAAGAAGAACAGGGCTTTATAAAAGAGGCAGTCTTCTCAATTTTCGTCGTACAATTTCAAATATTCATGAACGAATTCACGACGATGAATTTCACAATCATTTGCCAACGTGATTTCTTTATCCATATCGTCTTTATCTAAAGCGAAAATGACCACAATCATTTCGTTCTGTGCTATTAGACTTACATAAGCATGATTTATAGATATGAACAAACCGAAAGATATATTCGTAACGATAGTTACTCGAGTAAACCCGTCGGTATAACCAAACAAATATAAAATCAATTAAGTTTAACACTAATAGCACGCTAAACCAGATTAATAATAAAACAAAGATTCGTTTTGTAAATAGATTAAACGGTAAAATACACTGGATCGTATACCAATTGTTAATATCACCTATTTGCAAAGCAAAAGATCTATGAAGTCTTTGTTCAACTTCTACATCATACCTAACATTCGAACCATGAAATCTAGAAACAAAATTTCGCATATACCGTTCAGATTTCCTTTTCTCGTCTAGTTTACTCACCACACATCGTTTCGATTGGAAAATGGGCCTAGTATTCGTATAAATCTAATCTAACAATCAATGATCGACAATAAAGTCACTTACCGATGTCCACATATCGTGTTTAACTGATAAAATTTCTAATAGATATTTGGGATCGAACTGAAAGTAAAATCCTGTGAGTAATTTATTAACAAAAAAGAGTTGACCAATCAAGATGGAGATATATAGGATTTTCATCAATAAATATACACACATCACATAATTTCCACCCAAACAGTCATACGAATATTTCCTCTTCAGAACGTAATGAATAGTTTTTCTTAACTCGTGTTGTTTATCGATTTCCATCAAACGTTTTATATTGATGCCTGTTCGACTTGAAAACCCATGCCAAATTAATAGATACGGTAGAATAAAACTCACTGTCATGCCAATAAGAGCGACTGGCAACCATGGATAGATAGTAAACGGGGAAGTTCGTGGAATAGATGGATGTTCTAAACTAGTCGCATTCTGTGATACATAGTAATTCGTATGACCTAGCCAGCAAGTGTCATGTGCAAACTTTGAATTGGACTCGGGAACATCTTTTGGCACCCAACAGAGAATTGGATCACCGACAACGTATTGTTGAGTCGTGATCAGTGTTACGAATGCCGATAGAACTGCAACTGTGTATAAACGATTGAGACGATCAATACCTGTATCATCACGGTATTCAAGGTATGTATAGATTTCTGATATGAGAGTTGTAATCCATTCCATGGCACTTGCCGTCGATGTTCTTGTTAATGTTAATCGGAATGAAAAAAAAAGAATACTTGGGTGAATCTGTTTATCTTCTTCTCTCCCTGTACGTTTTTAGTATATCATGTATGAGAATCACGTCGATTCTTTTCTTTTTTCGAGGTAATCGTATATTCATTAAGAATGTAAGCTTTATCTTGTCGACCGATTTTGTACTTCGGTTCGTTTCTTGTAAACTGAGAATTGATTTATAACGTGCGATGAAAACTAATTGTTTGAAAGTAAAAAAAACACAATCAAGGGTGAGGTAGATGAAATTATTACGTTCATTTTTTTTCTTCGTAAGGTCAGTGCAGAATCCAGGAATGGGCTCATTAAGAACATCACAAATGCGTTGTTTGCACTCCCTTGACGTCAAGGGATATTAACATACGTTTCAGGTTTGATAACAACAATATATCGAATGAACTCAATTGTTAAGCAGATGGTTCGACTCAAAAGTTCCTTTCATGATGCGGATCTACTGTCAACTTAATTGACTTTGATTAGAGATATTCAACTGGCAAAAAGAAATGTAGCTGGGTTATCCTTGATTCTGATAAGCTATGTGTCGACTAAGAAAGTAAACAATCCCAAGCACTTTGAGTGTCGTCATGGACAGCTCCTCGAATCTGTTTGCATCTTTCGGTAAAACGTTCGTGATCTTTATAGATTTGCATAATGATCCTTCTTCAAACAATAAAATCTTTTTTTATAATTAGTTCATGATCATCTTAATGATAAGATTTAAGAAGAATGACGATTTATTTACGCGTATGTATGTGTATAGATTTGTATTTGGACAAAAAAAGGACTGAAAATCGAAAAATACTGTGTATATCTATTGTCGCACATGAGTCAGTTCGTTCAATGTTTATAGGAGATATCTTTCGTTTTCTATTCCACACTTCTACCCAGGACCAACAGAGACCGGTAGCCGTTCGATAAAGCGTAAACATTGCTGTTGAAGACGCATTTGGTCCCATTGTTTCAATAACGACTCTCTATCTTGATCAGCCATATTCAATACATCAGCCATGCGAAGCATAAATAACAAAAACTGATATTTTTCTGACCATGTTGTATAATCATCGATGAAACAACGTGTTGCCAAACGTTTGTATTCAGTTGATACTGGCATCGTCGATCTCAGTTGTTTTGCTGGGAAAGGTGTTGTAGAAACCGACGTGAACATATAAAACATTCCAAGGTAAACATACACTGGCAGACTACTCTTCATGTCGGTTGGAATCGTGTTTGTTGTACGCCTAAGATGTTGATGCTGTATATGCAGCGATGCTCACAAAATCGCTCTTTCAAATGAATATTTATATTGTCTAAAAGAAAGAGTAGGATGAAGAGAAAAACTAGAGTTTGCGACCAATTAATATCAGACTAACCACACACTCAGGATGTATCTGACAGAAATTTTGTTGGCTCTAAATGAAACATCTGCGTTTTGGATCAGAGATGAACGTCAATGTGCGAGGGTGAAAGACGAAACTTAGTTTTGATCAAATGAGCTATTTTTAACCGTAGTTTTATTCAAATATTTAGTTGAAACAGCGATTGTTGTAATGTAAGCATAGCTATCGTTCGCTATTCACTCGAGAAATAAGATCATGTTCTATTCAAGATTGATGATTATGATCTAATATGGAAATTGACTTTATTCATATCAAGATTGATTTGCTAGAGAACGAATCACTTGCAAAGAGGAAAGCTTAGAGGAATATCAATGTATAGTCGAACGACAACGTTAGTTTTTTTGATTAAGTCACTAGATCAATTTAAGTCAAATGATGTTTATTAATTATTTCCTGGTATTATTGAACAAACGTCGATTTCGACATGTTCGACAACACTTCGTGGATGCTGCTAATAAACGCATGAACAGATTTGGTTTATTGATTTTCGTTTTATCAATTATGGTTTGAAATGTTGCTTTGATCGAATCTAATTTTCAAGTATCTAACGGTTAATTCACAAATCTCAACATTATTCGATGAACTTTACTTGGAGAATTATGATACACGCTGGACATTCTCTTGGACAACCTAGACATTCAAGAATGCAGAAGAAGCTTTGTTGTTATACTACTTTTACTTGTTTATCTTGCTATTACTTGAATCTTGACTAGGATTTCTTTTCAAATCGGTAGCACTGATAAGTTGGTCATTGTCAAGATGATGTTTATCTAAATGTGACATTGAAAGACTCAATGACGATTGATCTCGGATGTTTAGAATATGATTGTTCAAATAGACGGTAGGTCTCATATTTACCTTCACTGCTTTCGCTGTTTAGTCTTGATAAAGATTGTTTCAAGGCTTTGTTTGATCGCAAACTTCGTGCAGAAGATAATTTTTGGGAATAGGATGAATGTTCGGATCTCTTTCGTCCCATATATTTTCGTAAATAGGAAGGACTTCGTAGAAAAGATACATCTTCTTGTTGATCATCTATATAAATCATTAATGCTCTAATTGAAGAAGAATTTTTAACTGAATGAATTACCTAAAGTAGAATATTCTTCTAAATCATGGCCGAAGTTTTCATTGAAGGAAAAATTAGGTACATGTTGTTTTATAATCTTAGTCAATTGTTCAAGTATTTGATTCGTCTCGTTTGTCGAAGGTGTTTGGTAAAGATCAACTTTATGATAAAGACGTTGGATGATATTTAAACCGCAGAATGGTGGTTCGATGATACTCTCAGAAAACAACGCATTAGATGATTTTGAGATTATGGCTGAAGAGCAATCGAATGGTTCGATACAGACTCCTTGATGAGATCGTGCGTAACATGGTGCTTTAAACAGATCTGAACGGATTTCCATGAATAATATACATTCTACTGTCGATGATGATCAATATCATCATCAAACATATTGACGAAGAACGTACAGTTTTCAATGATACGGTATCGCGTGAACGAAAAACATTTTGACGAAGCTCTTCAAGTAACAAAATAATAGTGAAAAACTGAGAGAACGAAAAACTTTTGAGCGGATAAGTTTATTTAGCGCTAAATACTTGACGAGAGATGACTTCCGTGGAGAAAGAGATGCAGATGCGAGTGGAAGTGTAGGTGTGAATAGGTGCTTAATGAAGCTAATGAAGTTAAAAAAGATCTTTTCTACTATGACAGATTTTGTTCCCTGCTATCTTTCTTACACTTTTAAAAGGTCATGGCATTAACCAACAAATTAAAAGTTATGACGAAGGACATTTTGAGAAATATTCCGTTTTAGCTGAATGATAAGAAATGGAAGATGCTACCTTTTATCAGATTATTTCAATTAGTATTTATTTTCATTCATCTACGTAAGAGTATAACTCAAAACACAACGCAACTATACATAGTGTTAAAGATCTATAAGAGTAACAAGGAAACAAAAAAATACACTCTACATCAATACTATTAAATAATAATAATAATAATAAAACTTATTTCATTCCACGACGTTGTTTTTGATGACCACCGCCTCCACCTTGATGCCAGTTACCTCCACCTGTAACGAAAAATAACTATCAGATACAAGTTAAATGCGAGCTCTCACCACCAGATCGTTGATTTCCACCGCCGTGATGAAAATTGCCACCCTATGCACATGTAACATGCTCATTCTATTTAAGAGACGAATTGCAAAGTAAATACATACGCCAAGTTGTCCACGGCGATTTCCACCTGCATTACTACCGCTGCCACTGCGTGTATTAGCTCCATTCCATTGTTGTTGACTTGTTGCAGGCTGCTGTTGAATTGGAACAAAGGGTAGCGCATCATTATTCATAGTTGAAATAGGAATGAATACTGGTGATACTGGTTGATTATGTGTTCCGTTTGAACTTGGCACGAATGGTGCTGCATTAGGTAGCATTGCTGGCATTAACTTAGCTAACGGATTTTTTGCTGGTAGCGCCGATAAAGGTATTTCAACCGCAGTTGTTGATTCTGTTCTTGTTGAATCAGATGCATTGTTTGGTGATGTTGAAGATTTTGATTGTTCATCAATCGATATAGTTGGTGTTACAGGAGATATCTGAGATAACAGTAAATAAATATCGCGAGATAAAGATTGACTTACTATTTTTGTATCATTGGATTCTTCAATTGGCTTAGAATCAACATCTACAGTGATCGGAATAATAATTTGCGATGATGTGATAATTGTTGGTTCAACAACTACTGCCAGTTCTGATTCTTCTCGTTTTTCTAATGTAGAAATCAATGGAGACTGTTGTTCATCAGAAATTATATCTTTGCGTTCATCCATATCCGTTTTAAGTATTACATTCATGGGCACAAATGGTAATGTTTGATTTATCACACCTATGTAAAAGTATGATGTGTCGATACAATCGAAATTCGTTTTTCCCTATCTGTTAACCTTACCTTCGGCCTGGGACGTATCAAATGATATTTCCACAATGGTTTCATTTTGATTAGTGAGATCAGTGAATGGTAATGGGGGCAATGATTCTTGATTCGTTGGTGTCATTGCTAATGGTGTACTATCCGTTGTACTAGTTAACCGACTACTACGACCTGACATATATTGAATTGTTTGCGATTGATCATTGTCAGTATCGTAATCTGTATGAGACAATTTATCGTTAACGGACTCGAAAGTGAGATATTGTTGATTGTTAGTTGTTGGTGTCGACGATTGGGATATTGGTGCTGTTTCGTATGAAGCTTCACTATTGGAATTTTGACGAGTATGAGATGGAATCAAGAGTAATGCTGATACTGATTCTAACTTGTTTATAGGCGATGGAGAACGCTGTACCAACGGAGATAGCGGGTATGATGGTGTTGTCGGACGATTGATCGATGGCGAATGTTCAATTTTATTCGGCATATGAATTAGTTGACGAAGACCCAACTGCTGATCAGAACCTTCAAGTAACTGTCGATATTTGTTCACTTCAGCTTCGATAGTTGGTTGACGCACCAATGTACTTGTATTCAAAAGAGTTTGCTAAACAAACGAAACCTATTAATATCGCCTCCCAGATGTATCTATTTCGCTCACATATTCTTTAACTGATCCACGTAAATCATTAATTTGCTGCTCATATTTTTCTTGCATACTCTTTTGCCGATTGAGTTCCCGTTCGAAATTCAATTCCAATTGTTTGTAATGTTCATGTATCAACGTTAATTTCTGTTGTAGTAAAGTTCGATGGTCATTCAGTGAATTCAACTCATTCGAAAGATGACGTCGTTCGATATCCTCTCGGTTGGTATCGAGTAAATTCTGATCAGCTTGTCTTTTGATATGTTGATTATATTCCAGCAAATCTAGACCAACAAATAAAAAGCAGATTCGAATCATTTCTGAAACAATACATCGTCAATTATACTCACATTTCCGATGTAATTCTTCACGCATATCGTTGTCTCGTGTTTTATATTCTTCACGTATTTCGTTCAACGTCTGCGTCAATGGATGTTTTCCAGTACCATCAAAGCGAAAATTTGTCGTCAGATCGTACACCATATTATCATTGTGAATTTCAATTGCCTAGAAAAGAATCGAGTTCGACAGTCAAGTGAAAAGTATTTTGTATCTGAATCAAACTTGAGCATCAGCTTCATGCGATTGGATGGCGATCTGTTTTTGTATTTTCAAATCGTCTACTTCTAATTGTACCCGTTGATTGATATCTCGCTGATGTGATATCTCGTCCAATATCGACGATTTAAGTAATTGGTAGTAAGAGATCTGTCTTCGATAATGATTTGAATCGTCATTAACATTTTCGTAATCAAAACGAAGTTTTTCCGTTTTACTCTAGAAGGTAAGTTCACAAAGAAGAATGAAATTATTCTGAATACAGATAGAACGTACTTGTAAGGCAATAAATTGTTGCTGTAAGTCGATGATCTGTTGCCGATTTAAATCGTGCTCATGTTGAAGAAATTTTTCTTTTGTTTTCACATCATGGACTTGTTTTTCCATGTCTTTTATGTTTTCATTTTCCAATTGAATATCTTTTCTCTCCCGAGCAAATTTTTCTTGTTGATATTCATCGAATTCTTGTTTAAGTAAATCTAATTTCGTTTTTGTCCGTTCCTGTGCAGCTTTGATTTGTTCGCAATGACTAGTCAAGCAATTATTGTACGTTTCAAACAGGCGAACACGTTCGATGTAGCTTAAAAACTGGTCGTTCAACTTTCGTAGTTGTAATTTTTCATTCGATATTGTTTGTTGATCAAGATTTCGATGGCGCGTCGCTAGCATATAAGAACCTGTTGCCGATGATGCACTTGGTGATACATGACGTGTGGAAACTGGTGAATGATATGGCGATGTTTTTGCTAAAGTCAGGTTACTGTTCATTTCTTCAATCAATTAGAAATTCTAACTTACGTGAAATAGTTATGACTGATTCAGTCATTTTTTCTGATAGAAATGAAACGATTTGTTTAGCTGAACGAGAAACAATCTAGACGATTCGTTCGCATTCTTTTGTTTATATTCGTCGTCTCTCGAGCGATCGCTAACACGTGGAATAGATACATATCTAGTCAGTGTTCTAATTATATGCGTACAAGAGAATGTTATACTGCCATTTTTTCACTTTTGTTTATTCAACCAAAACAACAATCACACAAGGAACGAAATGCTTTGTTATGAATGAAGAAAGAAGAGTAGGAGAACAAAAGGTGACTAGAAGGGAAAAATCAGGTTTGGATCGTTTGTTTCGGAATGAATTGATCATAAATCGAGCGTGTTATTCGCTCTTTTTCGTATTCGAAACATTCTTCTTCTGTCCCCAAAGAATGAATCGTTTGAACCAAAATTGATAAATCGTCCACAGGACAATTCCAACAGCAATAGTGATCCAAAGAAGACCAATGTAGAATGGTAATGGTTTGGTAACCGTTTCCCAATCGAATTTCAATACAATTAACACTTCTGTAATAACAATAGCAGTGATAACCCATGATTGTCGACCGAATTTTTTACATTGAGGATTATCTAAATACTCAAACATTTCACGCATGGATACACCACCGGCAAGCAGAAAGAATAGTAAACGAGAAAGACACAGGAAATGTGGTGGAGGAATCCACAGGATGAATTTCAAGTAGAATGTGCCTAATTCAATTAGAAATAGAAAACACGTTATGAATAACATGGCGAGCCATCGTTTCAACGAAGCGGTTGGACGCCAATCGAATTCCAGCCAATCGTGTGGTGTAAATTGACCCAATGCACGCATGATTTTACCTCTAGATAAGAAATACTATTCAGGATGGTTTCTTTTCTCGAAATAGATATTCCTTTACCTAACAGTTGGAATAGTCCAAAGTCCACGCCAATTATAAGGTTTCATTTTCAAGTATTCACATGTTTTCATTCCCAAATAAATGCCACCACCATTACAAATAAGTGCATCAAGAATCCACTAGAATTGAACAGATTTATTAACAGACTCTCAACGAAATCGTAGTCACTTACATGATCCCACCAACATTCACTAAAGTTCGGTAATTGATGTTCTAATGAATATTCAAGAATTTCGAAACCAATCGATGTGACCATACATAACCAATAGTCACGAATAATTAATGTCTAGAAAAATTTTTCGAACATTTCCTTGGAACGATTTATTAGTTCGTAATTTACTTTTAGCCACCAACCAAAGAAATGTGAGAGAACAAAGAAATCCATTTTATCCTAATAGAAAAAAATGCTCATGAGTTCTGACATGAAGTCATGTGATTTTACTTTAAAATAATGGAATGGATCTTCAGGATGTTCCCAATCATAGATACGACAGGATCCACCATAGTCTTTATCCGGTAATGGGACACCCAATGCCGGATCAATATGTTTGATGAGCTGTCTAGCTTCATCGGCAGTCTAAGCAGAAAAAAAACAACTTATCAACCTCTATAAGTTCATATTAACTTACTTGAAACAAGATGTAAATGAGCACAATTTCATATAGCACACTGAAACAAAGGACAAGACGCCAGAGAGCTAGAAAAACAAAAGATGGTTCGAAGCAAATGTTGGAAATATACCCGATAACTATTTATCTTACCAGGATGTGGCCGAACAAACACACCATCGGGTGTTTGTGTCATACCGAATACAAGGAAAAAGCCAGCACATGCTAGTAGACCACTAAAATTAGAGTTTTTCTTTATCGTACCTGTCAACGGTAAGCAGTATATTGAAAGTTTCATTAGTAAGATTTCCCGACCGACTTATTAACACTACTCGAAATCAATACTCAATTAAAATCCTACCTTGAGTCGTCGCGAGAACAATTCTATTCAATACAATCTTTTAGCTTATGAATCGATATAGAATTAGCGAGTGCAGAGATACTATCAGGAAGACATTTGCCTACCGTTTGGTATTATACGCTGAGTCTTCGGATGGTTGTTCCAAAATAGCAACATAGAATAGATATGACATAGCTATGACGAGACATGTTATAGTATGTGCCCGCCAAAAGAAAGACATTGTTCCATCATCGAACGGTTTCGAACGTCTCTTATCGCTTTCCCAATTGAATACGCTTGGTTGTGCTGATGTGGGTGTTACGGGTGGTTCTTTATCCTCTGTATTTCTGCCAGATGATGATGATGATGCTGATGAAATACCGCGTGTAAAACGCTGTAGATCATGACGTTTTACAGTTGTCATAATGAGTGTATTACGAAACGATTGTAAGTATCTAAAAATATCAATATTATTTTATTCAATCCGGAGAATAGACTCGCTGAAGTATTGTATTGACTAAAAATATCAAAAGAAAAGCTCGTCATTCAATGTTAGATAGGAAAATCAAAAGCACCGGGTTAAAATATGCATAAATAAACCATTCAAAGGATTGAGCATCCGTTCTGATAGACGGATCGTATCGGTTGTTGCAAATATTTCTGAAAAGACGTTCGTGTATCAATCTTTCCCGCTTGAAGATTGGCCTTCTCTAATCGTTGAAGCAGACGTAGAAGAAGCAGATCATCATTGACAGAAAGACCAACAGCAACAACATTGATTTGCTTGTGATCAGGATTATAGTAATCAAGTGTTAAATTAGCACGCGGTATACCACAGACAGTTGTACCTGTGAGCAGATCGTTATCTCCAATAGTTAATAAGCAATCGAGTGCATACGTTGATTTCAAATAACTTGTAAATGATTCATATGCTTGTTGTAATGTTTGTTTGTATGTATTGTAGGTATCTTGTGTAATTGGTGATTCAATAGCACGAATGAACAATGATTGACCGTATGGAATATATTCTGAGTGTGAGCAATTCCATTGGATTATTGATTGAAGAGTTTGATGACAGTAATCAGATGAATGCGAAGACAGATATAAAGGAATATCACGAGCAAGTCCATAACAAAGAAAGTCTAAAAATGATGTGTTACATTTAGAAGCTGGATTTAATACAGCTGCGATGGGTTCTGCAAGAGCCATATCACTATTTAAATTGACTAATGTTGTCAAAGGTAGCAGAGGGGAGAGAGTCTGGACCAAGACATTGCCGTCTTGTGATTGACCTATATATAAACATAATGTAATTGGTACATTCTTCTGCACTAGGCATGTATGCAGGTAACTTACCAAGGTAGCCCACTCGAAGTGATCGACTGTCACTGTCTGATGTATTTGGAATACCAACGGCAATCCTATGCAATAACTCTACATCTTTAATAGTCCGTGTCATGGGACCACAACAATCTTGATCATAATTAACTGGAATAATATCCTCACCCGACCATGTTCCGAGTGTCGGTTTGAGCGTACAAACGTTACGAACATTAATTGCCGGTGACAACAATGATCCTTGTGTTTCTGTTCCCAATGAAAATGTAAACAAGTTTAACTTAATTCCAGCAGCTGATCCACTAGATGAGCCACTAACATCTTCATGCATATCATCTGGATGAATACATTGTCCTCCAACAGCTGAAAAACCTGACGGTGCATCTTGTGTAAAAGCATAAGCCCATTCAGATAGATTCGTTCGACCAAGAATAACGCATCCTAACAATGTTAAAGTCCACATCTAATTACTGCTATATATAGAGTTCTTTTTACCTTGTTCTCGAAGTTTTTTTACAATTGGTGCGTCATATTTCATTTTCTTCTGATGTAGAACATGAGCACCTGCATCATTATACATGTCACGTATGCTAATGTTACCTTTTATAGCAGCCACACACCCGAAGAGCGCCTTCTTCTCAATGTTATTGTCATTGAGTTCTGCGTCCAATAGTTTTGCTTCGGTTAATAAATGCGGATTGAGTTCGATAACCACTTTATAGTAATCATTTGTCATCTGTACACGTTTTAAATAGAACAATACCAGATCCACACATGTAATATGTTTATTTTTAATCAGATTTTTTACTCGATCAATCGAATGATCGAGTTTGAGCAAGGATTCAATTCGCTCGTATGTTTTAGATGGATACGCTGCTAATGAATCAAGAAATGGTGAATAATCCAACGGAATTTCATGTTCAAAATGATTTTCTGTTGCTGTTAAACAGAACAAACCGCGACATTTGCGATAACATGCTGTTTCTAAACCTTCACTTTCATTTTCTATGAATGGACTCTCTTGTTGTTCTTCCTCTTTAATTGCATCTTCTGCCATATCTAAAATACAAAGAATGCATCATATAAAAGACATGTAAACTGGAATAACTGAGAGGAGAGGTTGTTGACTCAGCTGTGTATATTAACTCTGCTTTCAATTGAGAAAATAAGTCGTAGCAGATAAAAATCTCCTCAAATAATCTGATCAAACCGACCATTTTCGATGATGCATCATTTATTTGTCATATAGCTCTATCCGATTGTGAAAGCACTAAATCGATGAAAAATAGTCCTTCGTACGGCTGATGGATGAATATGAGAAAAAGACGAAAACTAGGAGACAAAAAAAGAAACTAATGAATTTGAATCATTCATTCTTGTTTATCCAACAGAAGTTTTTTTCTTGTGTTTTTTTGTTTCACTGTAAATCGAAATGAAGAGAAATGGTGTACAAAAAAATAGGAGAAATATCCATGTGACAATCGAGAGCAAGTATACAGAAGACAGAATAAATAAGAAACAACAAGAGAAAAAACACCAGACATATACATAGGAAAGTTCCGGAGAACTTCGTTTGTTTGTGTTTTTTTTTAGAATAAAGAAAGTCTTCAACATGTAAAACCATGCGAGACTATGAAAGAAAGAACAAAACGACGCGATAAATGTTCAATTTATCTCGATTAAAAGTCAACCAATACATTTTCGATCTCTCGTTTGTTACTTGTTTAAGAATTATTTATTAAGAGCTTTGACGAGAAGAGTTGTGCGTTTAAGATATTTATCTCTTTCCATTATTAGTAATAAATCACGAAGATTTGCTCGACAAATGCGCTTGGTTGTTTTCTAAAAGAAAATGCACTCGACAGTTTCGATTGACTTGAACATTTATAGATACATACTGATTTACTATTTACATTTGTTGACATCGTTACATTTGACGAGGGCGATGGTTGAATAGGAGATATTTGTTCAGGCCCATTCGTAGACATCGCATTCGGATGGTGATGATTTGTACTTTCTTCAAGTTTACGCTTTTTCGGTTTACCGATAGCTGCCAGAGCGGTTTCGTTGGCTTCCTTTTGCCGTTGCTCTTCGACTTGAGCTTGTTGCATCTGATAGAAATCAATCGGATGATAGGAAGATGAAAACTTTCATATTACTTCTTTTGCTTTTTGTTTTAGCTTAGCTGCTTCAGGATCGTTGGTTTTGGAACGACTCTGACGAACAAAAATAGGGTTTCCTTGCAGAAAAATACGTTTCGTTTTACTTTGGCTGCACGAAAGATCTTTTCTTGTTCAATCTTGTCCTTTTTCTGCTTTTCTATTTTATCTATGTCTTCGAGAAATCGCATCTGTCCTTTTACATCACTTGTTTGTTGATACGCAGAATCATTCTAAACGAAAGAATAATTCTTCCTTCAAATCAATGATGAAATCGCGTATTTTTACCTTCATAGACATATCAATTCGATGTTGTGCGACTAGTTTCACTTGTTCTAACAAATATTTCAATCTTTCTTGAGCAGCATTGGATATTAGAAGAAAAGCAGCATCATTTGCCATCGTCATTCCCGTAAATCGTTTATCTTTGTCGACTAACACGAAGAAAATTCAGCGCATCTCTTTGTGCAATTCAAACTTTCGATTTACCTAAATCTTTTAAACGTCGATGTAAAATAAGAGACGGTATTAGTCGGTCATCGTGTTGTAAATGACGCGTGCTTATCATTGCTTGGTTATTACCATCATCTAATGGTTCGTCTTCAGTTCTAAATGAATAGATCGTATTGATTTTTCTCCGAAAGAGGTTTTACGTACTTAGTTATTGGTTTTTGTTGAATAGCAGATATAAGGGAAGGCGGTGGAGTTTGTATTGTTTCTGTTTTAATCGGCTGATGGTTCACAGCAATGATTTGCGGTTGTTGCAACGTAGCTGTAGTTGTTGAGAGAATCGATCGTTGTAATAAGGAATCAGATGGTTGAATGATCATCTGTGTCACTGGCTGAACTTGTTGTGATTGCTGTTGCCCGCTAAGAAGATTTGTATTTCCGGATGGGGACAACGATGTAACCAATGGACGAAAACCAGTGATGCTCTAAAAGAAGATTTTGTTCCAATATAGTTTGGAGAGAATGAATAAACATGCAATTTGTGCTCGCGCTTGTTGCTGCTGCTGCTGTTGTTGACTAAGCAAAGATGCTGTTGAACCAATCAGGGTTTGCTGAGGAGTTTGTTGCAAAATATTGATCTTTTGTTGGGGTTGGACAGTTGTGTATAATGGCTGTTGAATAAACTGTGTTGATTGTTGTTGTTGCTGCTGCTGGTGTTGACTAATAATATTTGCATTTGTCACTTGTGCCATACCTATCGTATTGTTGGCATTATTACTGCTATTACTGGGTGGTAATTGAAGCTTTTCCAATAATTCAATTGTTATTGGAAGTCCAAATGTATTTTTTACAATTTGACGCATGTGAGGCAGCGCTAACTAAAATACAAAATAATTGTATTCGTTTACATATTCAACAATGGGGTTTGAAGAAAGAATGATTGCATGATGTTCGTACAGTCTTTTAAAACCGACTTCATTCCTGTGATGAGTATATTCTGAAAATAGTTGCATTCTTATTACATCAGCGGTACGTTGAACATAGATCGGACGATACATGGCGTTGTGATTACTCATCGTTGAGAGAAATTGTGTTCTGACTCATGTGTCTCAGTTTATTATGAAGCGCTTTTCGCGCAAAACAATGCGGTGAATGACGATTGTCGATAGATGTCTCACGAAAGCGAGGTTTTGAAAGAACAGCAGTGAAGTGTCTCATTGAAGATTTGTTCCGTGTATACGGAATACTGAAAGAAAACGGCAAATGGCATTATACAAACATCACGCAATCAGTTACATAAAAGAATAAGATAAAAATTTATAAGCCCCGAATGGGTTGAGCATCCAGCCGTTTTTGAATTAATAAACCATAACACAAAAATCTGTACAATGATTGCTTTTATAGGTTTACCTTTATATAAATCAAATTTTCCTGAAAAGATCATATTAATTATCACTTATAATATCAAAGGATCCGAATTGTCCGAAGGAGTTTCTTGTCAGTGAGAAACAAAAGTGAAAATTACCTTGAAAAATGGGACGAGTGATACATGTGGTTGAGACTTATAGAGTGTATGCAATTGTTGAGTAAAAGATTCCGGATCAATAGTTCCATCCTAGATCACATAGAAATTGTTTATCGATTGTGTATTCAAAATTGGTCTTTCTAGTACCAAAAGTTGTTGAATACAAGATCGAACCATCGGTAGTTTCTCTGGAGCTTGCTTTTCAGCTAAGCGAAGTAGAGTGGTTAGGAATGTTCGACATTTCGAAACGAAATCATTTATCTGAGATTCTGTATAGGTATGAGATGTTGCTCCCGTCTGTGGTGTTCCTACTGTTTGACGAACAACCGATTGTGTTATAACTTTCGTGGGAATTACAGTTGACTGTGACTGAATTCCACCTGGCGTACCTGGTTCTGAAACAATAGATTGTTTCTTAGATGATATGAGAAAAATCCACATTAAATCATACCAGTTTTAACGGTAGTATACTGGAGAACAGACGGTTGTTGTGGTTGTTTTTGTATCGTAAATTGGGGTTGCAAGGATTGTGATAGATTATTTGTCCATACTGTTTGTGTGGTAAATTGACCTTGCTGCTGTTGAGTTTGCATAGGTTGTGACTGATTAACACGAACGAAATTGGTCGGTGCAGTCATTATTCCACTTGTCATTGGTTGTGAAAGAATGGTTCCATTTTGCGAAGGAGTTGGACGAATATTCTGTGTTATGTTACCCATGTTATTGATAGCAACATTGTTATTGAGTGGTTGAGTAAGTAACAATGTTCCCTTCGAAAAGAAAATTCATTTCTTGCCAATAGACTGAATCTACTTACAGGAGTTGGTAAAACTTGAAATTTGTTTGTATTGGCAAACTGCGATGGAGAAGATGTCATTGTAATGAATTTCCAATCAAATCAATACAAAATGGAAACTTCTATCTGAAACAAATGAGCATATAGTGTAGACTTTGTATAAAACGCAGTTAGGATAAATAAATATGCTTGATTAAATGAATAACTGGTGTGTAGAAGGTAGCCATTAATGATGACAATGAAGAATTCTTCCAGACCAATCGAATCACTCTGTTAAATAGATGTCGCTATGCACCATTGACATAGATCATACATTAAATACTACTTGGCAATACACCCGCTTTTCGAACATAGAATTTCAATTCAACGACGACTAAAGTTGATTCCGATCAGTTTTCAATGGATAATTCAATTTCCAATACTTCACGAACGAGAAGTTCCAGGCAAACCCGTAAGGCACTAACGAATTATATGAAAAACCTGCAAACAACGAATCGCCACTCGTTCATCACGAAAAACGATTGCGTGGCGACAAAAACACCAAGGCAATCTAGCGACTAAAAAGTACTGCTCAATCTTCCTTCATTCGATTCTTCTTTATCAATATTTGTTTCTAGTTAACACAGAAAACGATGAAAGCCAACAATCCGACGAAGAAACTCATGTAATTGAACAAATTAAGGTTTATTGAAAAATCGATAATAGGAGCTTTCCCAACAGAATTTCGACAATCTTGCAGCTTTGAAAAAACTCCATAGGCTCTCCTAGGAGTATGTCAGCAGAAAGATTCATGTAGCATCCTACTGCTCAGACTTGCCCGCACCCTCACCCTCAATAATTGATCTATAGCTAAATACGATTTTGTAACGATAGATTATTTAATCAAAGAAATAAAATAAAACAAAATAAACTAAAAAAAGAGCAAGTTTTCAAAAATAATCTTGTAGAATCAATTATAAATTGGAAATGATGCTGGTGCTCGTGCCGTCGCTAAAAAGTGTTTTCATCTTTGCATCGTCATATGGTGGACCAGACGATTAGAAAAAGCTTTAACAAACACTGCAAGAATGACGAAAAAGATCAGACGAAGTAGGCGTATCCCAGGTCGAAGAATCCGATCCGGATACTGAGTATTTTCCGGGCGTTTCCAGCCAGAAAATAATAGATTTCCTGCAGGTTCTCGTCGGATATTAGCGGAGTACTGCTTCGGGAATAATCGTCCTGGGTAATTGTTGACTTTGAAAAAAATTGCAGTGGGAAAAACTTCAGCCAAGATGTTCAATACAAGTTCCAAAAACGAAACTAAAATAAAAAATACTTGTAACAACTTAGGTGATAAAACCGAAAAGTCATGAGAGATTCTCATAAATAAAGCTGATTTTCAATCAGATTTTTGTTCATTTTCTGTTGCACGATGGGACCTAAGTTGCTGACTACGAAAATGTCTCTTACTTTTAACTCCATTGGTGGTAATCCTTCGAATGGGTCTGGCACATTTTGCCGACAGATCTTTATGCGAAAATTCCATTACACAAAGTTTTGCCACCGCATTCAAAGAATATCGATAAAAAAGTTACTTTCAATCAGATTCACCCACTGATGTAATACTCTCTTCTCCACTCTCATCCTCGTACCCTTATTTCTCCCTAATTACTTTTCGATCATCTAAGAATATCAACTTCGCAAGAACTATAATTTCTATTGATAAAACATCGAGTGATTACTTTCATTTATATTCAAGAAACCAAAGCATCTGTTCTAGAACAATTTAAACACGATACTTCATCACAAAACTGAACTACTGAACGTCGATTCAATTTTGGTTTCTCACTATTTCGATCAAGAGTCGGTACTCTAACCTCAGTCTATGAATAAATTTACATGTAGATGTGTTCTTATTAAGATTTAACGAAAAATAACAGTTCACCTTGCCAACTAATGAAATTCATATTATGTTTTCTTGGCAAAGAGTTTCTCACGAAACATAAGTCATCGAATGTGATTCTCGATCGCAGTCTCGAAAAGTAGATCTATTTTCGTCAGGAACTAAAGCATATTATGATTAAAAGTCTTCTCAAGTACGCTTTGTTCAATGTTTGTATGGGCATATTTCTGGATCACTTACTGAGAAACGGCATGAAATATTTATCGAATGCTTGCTTCCAATTTGTATCATCGTAATAACCATGGCCTGTAAAGAAAGAAACATAGTCTTAATTACAATAAATATGTTGGATCAAAGTAGTGCTTCTTTTTTACAATGGATCACAATATAATGTTGACTAAGTATCGAATTCAAGTATAACTAATTAATGGAGTCTTTGAAAAAAGTTTATCAAAACGATCGTGAAAGGAAATATTATTGATTCAAGTCAAGAGAATACACATGCTATCATTATCGCAATGAATGTCAGTTAAAATTTGTTAGACTTGAAAAATCTGTTTTGGTCATTGATGACGCATGAAATCTAGTCACAGTGAGCTTTTTCCAGTGTAATATGAATTGAATCAGAGAAAAATGAGCATGAGAGTCATGAAAACATGTCGTTCTAATCGAAACGTTCATATATCCTTTTATTCCGCACAAGATAAAGCGGTTTGCTCTGTTCTAAATCGGAGTAACTCGGAAAATATACTAGAAACATGTAGTCTAAAACTTAGATATTATTTTATTACGCAATTTATGGACAAAAAAATCAAACTCACATCTTTCTACTGTTGCATTTGTGTTTGTAGCTTTTTTACCTTCGGCGATGACTTTGTATTTCGGAATAACTTCATTTGTACATGCAAGTAAATCACCAAAACGTAATGGTCGAATAACTTCACCGAGATTGACATTCATCAGCACAATTGTTTTAGTCATATCAATTCCAAAGTATACTTTCACATCTTGAACAAGCTATTGGTACTCCAGATTTTGATCAAAGCAAAATGTTTGCGCTGTTTTTCCATATTCGAAGATTATTTTCTTCACTCCATTATTTCCTGTTCGTTCTAAGTGAAGAAAGGAGAACATGTATTATTCTACTTAAATCACAAACATCTGGTTTGCAAATATTAATTCTTCTGGGTCAAGAATTGCAGTGTTATCTAACAAAAAAATTCGAACAGACTTACCCATTGAAGATAGATTTCATATCTTGAAATGACAGAATATTTGAAAAATTTCGAACTAAAATATAGAAATATTTAGCAAAGTACAATGTGTATATCACATCAATCAACTGTATAAAACAAGAATATCCTGAAACTGTCAAACTCGATCTGGACTCAATGCTCAATCAAACAAAAACAGATTGGTCTCATGTACAATAAATAAGAAGCACCACAAACAGATGGCGCCACGCATAAATCATACCAGAATATTTGTTCGTTTCAGAATAAATACTTACATAGCTAATCGATAATGAAAGCATTCCAACACATCAGTCTTTATATTTCTTCAGATCGATTTCGCTTTTTTGAAAACAACAAAATCCATGTAATAACTGAAAGCCAAAAATCTGAATTCAACCGACTTTTTATGATGAGAAATTGATTTCAATGACATCATTTCTCATCGGCTTTTCACCGCATTTTTAAGAGAAAAAACATCACTGAAAATTAACCAATTTCAAAAGAATCTATTTCGATTGATTTAACTTGATTTCTATTTTGCGATCGATCTTAATCAATTCAAACTGATACATACATAAGACTATTTTACGTAGCGAAGAAGAATTTTATCAAACAACAATGTGACATCAATATATAGCAGGGCAAGACAGATCTGTCGAATGGAACATTACGAGGAAACACTCCATGAGCTATTTAAAAAATGCGAACAGTTTCCAAAATTCATTTTATTCGACGTGACAAAGACAATCATCGCTAGAAAGAAGATTAGAATGAGGAAGGAATAGACAGAATTTCTTCTATGTCATCACTGTCCAATATTTGCGAATGTGACGCTTTCTGCTGCAAATAGATTGAGATATTAGTCATTCACTCCATTGATCCTATGATCAGTGATGAGCTGTAAAAAGAATAGAGTTCGATTTTATATTGATCTACATTCATCTATTTCAAAATGAATCCGGATAACGTTTTCTTGACGCAACACGCAGGTTTCTCTTTCAGTGTAGTTTTTTATTCCTTTTATTTCTCTTTAGGACAGCTTTTGACATTAATTAGGATCTATTGAAAATTTCAATGTGACATTCGATGATTTTAATTACTTTCAACGAAGAAAAATTATGTGGAACTCATGCAAGTGCTCTGATATTGTCAGACTATCGTTTTGCCTTTGTTTATGAGCAACTTAATCCTATCGTGCCATCACATCAACTTTGCTCCTTGTTCATAATCCAAGCACGCCTGATATTCAAGCGTTCTTTAGTCCCTGATGACGACATCTGAAACACTGTACTTCGTTTCTCAACAATTGAATATCTACTGGGGCTTGACCATGTTCATTCTTGGTATTATTGGTGCTATATGGAATATTCTAACTTTTCATCATCACACTCTTCGTTCCAGTTCATATTGCACCTATCTACGATTTGCCTCTGTTGCTAGTTTGATACAAATCCTATTCAGTCTATCCGATCGGATCATTTATGCTGGATTTGACATTCCTTGGACAGCGACTAATGTAGCATGGTGCAAAATTCGTTATTTCTCTGCACATTGTACATCGTTGAATGCTCTATCCTTTCTGGTCTTTTCAGCTATCGATCGATTCTTTTCGACCTGTGACGAAATCAAATGGCGTCGTTTGAATTGTGCTTCGGTTGCCAAACGCGTTTGTATCTTTACAATCGTATTCTGGACGATACTGACTATTCCAACGTTAGTCTATGCAAAGCCAGTACAAATCAAGCTGAATAGATATTCGTGTGAAAACACATCTTGGATCTGGTCACAAATCGCCGTTTTCTTTTTCAGTCTTTGTTGTTACGGGATATTTCCATGGTTTTTCATGAGCTTATTCGGATTCTTAACCTGGAAAAATCTTCGTCGGATTCATCATCGTCGAATATGCATTGCATCTTCAGGTATTGTCACTCGTAAAGCACGTATCGATGATCAACTTGCATCGATGTTATTCCTCCAAATCTTCATTTGTATTTTATCATCCATTCCATTTTGTAGTCAGAATATTTACTCCAGTGTAACTCGAACGATGGATAAAACTGAGTTGCGTCAAGCACAGGAGTACCTGTATCTTCAAATAGCTCGTTTAGCATTCTATTTCAATTATATCTCCACCTTTTATGTCAACTATTTGTCCTCGGCAATCTTTCGGCAAGTATCAAGACAAGTTCTTCGAAATTTATTTAAAAACAAAGAGAACTTATCTCGGCAAGCGACTATGGTTAATCATTAAGAACTGAGCAAACAATGATTGATATGGATCAAGTAATTACAAACGAGACATTTCGACAAGAAAGGGCTTCCACTGAAGTGAAAAAACATACTCATCTGATAAAAGGAAAAGAATGACGAAGCTTTCGTAAATCATAGGTCGTATGAATGTTATTCCAATTCTTTTGAGTGGTTTTAACTTTTATTTTCGGAGGTTAGTGTGTTCAATATGTCTAGGAACATATTTTGGATTTTTTTTCACGATGTTTACACATATTTGATGTACGACAATTGTCTCGTGATCATCATATTTTAGCTGAATATGTGCACGACGGAAAAACTGTCACGAAAAAAGTTCAATTATTTATTTCTTTTCTTTCTTTTAATGATGAACTCATTTAGAACGACGAAATTTCGGCGGAGTTAATGTTTTTATCGACACTATCGAACACGACAACAGCAAGTCAACAAAGAGGCCGACGTCGACAAATTGAAGAAAAGTACGAATTACAACTAGCACCATCAGCAGTGGCTTCAAAGAATGTTCAATTATCAGAGATTCAATAAGAAGAGACGGCTTTTTGAAAGCGTACGTCAATGGAAACTGGTCAACTGAAACACGCAACATCAAATTCTGAAGCACTATTGATAACTATGAATACTAATCAGCAATTTCCATCAAATGCGACATCGATCACAGGCACGATGACAAACGGAATTGAAATATTCATTCGTAGGAGTCGAAGTCAATGGATGAAAGCGACAAGATCTTTATTTTAGCATCGATCTGTCGACTGTATGAATACATCTATCATAATGTTCGATAAATACTCAGGAAAAGAAGAAGGAAATGAACATTGATTAGTGTACCATTGGATATTTTAATGACAATTACGAGTAATTCGCTCCTTGGCTTGATTTGTTTTATTGATAACGATCTTTGAATTTATCATTGGTTTGTTTAGGCTTTTCTCGTGGGCGAACTCTACCGACCAATATCTTCAATGGTATGTAAGCTTCTCTTCTCTGTTGTTATGTATTTTGTAAACATCACCATTTTATCTCTACTGATTCTTTCTACATGTCGTTCTTTGATTTGTGAACCAATCGATTATTAACTTTTATTTCTCGTTTTGAAAATTGTCTTTTCAGATAAGTAATTCCGAAAAAAATCCAACTGCGGGTAATCTGAATGCATTACATGCTGATGGACCAACCACAACAACAGATGTTTTGAAAGTGACGGTTAATAAACTGGTTCAACGTGGAGAAAATCTGGATGCACTCGATAATCGAACAGATGATTTCTATTCAACTTTGCATCGTTTCCGCGGAACAACAAGACCAGTGAATCGAGATAAGAGGTGAGAAAATATCAAATGAACTATTTTGCTTAGTGAATTTGTTTAATTGAAACATATTTCACATTGATCTTTTTGTTCTAGTTCTTGTTGTGGTCGCGTTCATTACCTTTACCGTATTAATGGCCGTTCGCCCATGGAAGAAATGAGTGAATCTTCATCATTTCTTTGAGTGAAAAGATCAAGTACTATCCCTAAAAATTGATCTTCAAATACGATTTTGTAACAATAGACTTTTTAATGAAAGAAATAAAATAAAACAAAATAAACTACAACGAGAGGAAGTTTGCAAAAATAAACCTGTAAAATCAATTATAAATTGGAAATGATGCCGGTGCTCGTGCCGTCGCCAAGAAGTGTTTCCATCTTTGCATCGTCATACGGTGGACCAGACGATTAGAAAAGATTTTAACAAACACCGCAAGAATAATAAAAAAGATCAGGCGAAGTAGGTGTAATTGTTGATCTTTGAAAAAAATTGCAGTGGCAAAAACTCCGGCCAAGATGTTCAATGCAAATTCCAAAAACGAAACTAAAATAAAAAATATCTCTAAAACCTTCAATGATCAAACCAAAGTCATGAAAGATTCCCATAAATGAAGCTGATTCCTCTCATCCTCACACCCACCCCCGAACATGGTTTCTTTATTTGGCTATTTTTCTTTTTGAAATGTTTTGTTGGAGTTGATTTTCGTGAATGATATTCGAGTTTTATTGGGACAACAACAGTTGGCATTCCGAAAGAAAAAATTAACTTTCGAAGTGATCAAAGCCATTGAAAATATAATAATCTTGTCCTCGGCGTAGTGACCCCTCCTATATTGCAGGAATTATTTGTCATGAACAAATAGTTCATTTCAATACGTATTCTTCAGACACACATATCCGATAGAATGTTGTCCGATCGTTGGACTCCGACAAAGGATCCGATCGGACCGAAGTATAAGATTGGTAGACCTAGGTCGGTAATTTGTTCGTTCTCAGCTAATTTGCAGCTGTACCAAGAGCCTTGGAAAATATCAACACTCGATGCTTCCTTTATTTTTATTAGTTATGAAGTCATGCAAAGCATATTTTACAAAAACAGCAGCAAAAGCAAACGTTACAAGGTAAGTCAAACACGAAAAGGAGAATATACAGAGGTCATGATGTTGGTTCAACGAGTTTCGTTGACAATGAAAAAACCATTAATCCTTTTTTTCTGATTTAGCAAAAGGGGTTAATTCTAGAAGAAAAAGACAGAATCAATACTAAAAATGTACAATTACACAAATCTATCACTGAACGTCGATTCAATTTTGGCTTCTCACTATTTCGATCAAGAATCGCTACTCTAACCTCAGTCTATGAATAAATTTACATGTAGATTTGTTGTTATTAAGATTTAACGAAAAATAACAGTTCACCTTGCCAACCAATGAAATTCATATTATGTTTTCTTGGCAAAGAGTTTCTCACGAAACATAAGTCATCCAATGTAATTCTCGATCGCAGTCTCGAAAAGTAGATCTATTTTCGTCAAGAACTAAAGTATATTATTATAAAAAATCTTCTCAAGTATACTTTGTTCAATGTTCGTATGGGTATATTTCTGGATCACTTACTGAGAAACGGCATGAAGTATTTATCGAATGCTTGCTTCCAATTTGTATCATCGTAATTACCATGACCTGTAAAGAAAGAAACATAGTCTTAATTACAATAAATATGTTGAATCAAGGTAACACTTTCTTTACATAAGTTATGACATTATATGATTCAGCAACTCGTATTTATTCTAGAGAAATAAGAACTATCTTTTCGCGAATGATGTAACTCGGCATACAGAGGAAATAGTGAGCTCTTTTTGTTGAATAATATGGAAGACAGTTTCTGTATTTGGAGTTTTTAACGCTTAAATTTTTGTATAAGGACTGATGCTAATATTCTCATCACACAAGTTGATTTAGAGTTTCTCAGTACACAAAATATATTAATCCTTTTAGAGATTTGCTCAACAATCATCAAGGCCCAACCTCCATTCAAAACTCCTTTTTTGCTTAGGAGCATCCAATCTCGATGACACTTTCAGGGATGGTCTGTCTAGATATGGTGGCCTCTGAGTAATAATTTCAGCTTGAAATATTAAAACGTTTGAAAGCAAGCTCGTGATTAAGGTCCAAAACTGGGCCTTTCTCCGTCCCAAATTCCTTTGCCATTTTCAACGTTGAGAGAGCCATGATTGGTTTTGAAATGCAGCTAAGATATAGAGCTACAACTTAACAGAGACCGATTTCTTTCTTTTTCTTATAGTTCATTTTTTGGTACAACTGTTATGTCACGATATGAAATTAATGAAGTGCGAGGTCTCAAACATTTTCTCCTTATCTGATGTCAACTACGTAATCGAAGAAGCGGGTTCTGTGAAGTCATAGTTCTGCATCTTGACCACATTTTAGAAGGAATCCGAGCTTTCAAAATGGAGGAGAAATCTGGGATGCACGAAAAGGTAAAAGTGAAAAATCTTATTTTGAGAAAAAACGCAACATTTTTTCTACAAGTGTATTTCATAAATATTCACTATGTAATAACGTATTTTATAATTATAAACAATGAAACACACTTTGATGTTACTATAGCTGATAAAGTTGCGACAACAATTTATTATGAAGTTCTTCTAGTTGACCTTAGAAATTAGAGAATAAGAACGATGACTGTATATGAGTAATGAATCCACAGTTAGAGCAATGGAACTTCACATGCGTGTACAATCCATTTCTTGTTTTGACAGACAATGAATCGTCTCACAATTGCTTACATTCACAGCATAAAGCTTGTTTCGTCAATAAAATCAAAGATTTCATGTGAATAATTAGACAAATATCAAATAAGTCATCCACATCATCTATGTTTACCGATGATGATGAATCCATTCTCCTATTTTTTACTTTCTGTAGTCGGATGTGTCTCATCAAAGACTTTCTGCTTCTTAGTTTCTGACGAATATTTGCTTTGCTCATCTTTTCACAAGATTCTTATTACCATTCTCTTTCGAATGCAACGAATTCTATTTTCAGATCACGACAAATACGATGGTAAATGCAAAGAACAGACATGAAAGAAGAATAAAAGTATATTTTGCTACGCGATAGAATTAAATTCAAGATAGTATTCCGTACAATAGAAAATCAATATGTTTTTATCATTTCAGATCGAAATGCTTAAAAAACTCGAATTTTTCGAAAGGTGCCATTTTTCTTCAACAGAGGTTTTCAGAAAAATTCGCGTAAAACCGTTAAAATCTATAGCAAACAGAAAAAGTTATAATCCATCCGGTGGCGTGCGTGATCCTCTATGATACAGAAATTTACAATTTCGACCAAAACCGACACTTTTTGTAGCAAGGGTGGGTTCTAACAGAAGGATGAGAAAGCTTACGAAAAAAAATTCATTCTTCGTTTGCGAAATCCTACCTTGAACAATAATTTTATATTTTGGAATTGCTGCATCGGTAAAGTCAAATAAGTCCGCTGTTCGTGCTACTACAATCATTCGATTTGAATACGAATCGACGATGGCAATCTCTGAACATATTGGAATTTTGAAGTGAACTTTCACATTCTTTAAAAGACTTTCATAAGTAACATTTCGACTTATGAAAAATGTTTTTTCAACATTTTTCAATTGAAAAATTATTTCCGATGGTTGATTTTCTACATTGATTTCTAAGTGAAGAAAGGAGAAAATGTATTACTTTACTAAAATCATAAATCTCTAGTTTGCAAATATTAATTCTTCTGGGTCAAGAATTGCAGTGTTATCTAACAAAAAAATTCGAACAGACTTACCCATTGAAGATAGATTTCATATCTTGAAATGACAGAATATTTGAAAAATTTCGAACTAAAATATAGAAATATTTAGCAAAGTACAATGTGTATATCACATCAATCAACTGTATAAAACAAGAATATCCTGAAACTGTCAAACTCGATCTGGACTCAATGCTCAATCAAACAAAAACAGATTGGTCTCATGTACAATAAATAAGAAGCACCACAAACAGATGGCGCCACGCATAAATCATACCAGAATATTTGTTCGTTTCAGAATAAATACTTACATAGCTAATCGATAATGAAAGCATTCCAACACATCAGTCTTTATATTTCTTCAGATCGATTTCGCTTTTTTGAAAACAACAAAATCCATGTAATAACTGAAAGCCAAAAATCTGAATTCAACCGACTTTTTATGATGAGAAATTGATTTCAATGACATCATTTCTCATCGGCTTTTCACCGCATTTTTAAGAGAAAAAACATCACTGAAAATTAACCAATTTCAAAAGAATCTATTTCGATTGATTTAACTTGATTTCTATTTTGCGATCGATCTTAATCAATTCAAACTGATACATACATAAGACTATTTTACGTAGCGAAGAAGAATTTTATCAAACAACAATGTGACATCAATATATAGCAGGGCAAGACAGATCTGTCGAATGGAACATTACGAGGAAACACTCCATGAGCTATTTAAAAAATGCGAACAGTTTCCAAAATTCATTTTATTCGACGTGACAAAGACAATCATCGCTAGAAAGAAGATTAGAATGAGGAAGGAATAGACAGAATTTCTTCTATGTCATCACTGTCCAATATTTGCGAATGTGACGCTTTCTGCTGCAAATAGATTGAGATATTAGTCATTCACTCCATTGATCCTATGATCAGTGATGAGCTGTAAAAAGAATAGAGTTCGATTTTATATTGATCTACATTCATCTATTTCAAAATGAATCCGGATAACGTTTTCTTGACGCAACACGCAGGTTTCTCTTTCAGTGTAGTTTTTTATTCCTTTTATTTCTCTTTAGGACAGCTTTTGACATTAATTAGGATCTATTGAAAATTTCAATGTGACATTCGATGATTTTAATTACTTTCAACGAAGAAAAATTATGTGGAACTCATGCAAGTGCTCTGATATTGTCAGACTATCGTTTTGCCTTTGTTTATGAGCAACTTAATCCTATCGTGCCATCACATCAACTTTGCTCCTTGTTCATAATCCAAGCACGCCTGATATTCAAGCGTTCTTTAGTCCCTGATGACGACATCTGAAACACTGTACTTCGTTTCTCAACAATTGAATATCTACTGGGGCTTGACCATGTTCATTCTTGGTATTATTGGTGCTATATGGAATATTCTAACTTTTCATCATCACACTCTTCGTTCCAGTTCATATTGCACCTATCTACGATTTGCCTCTGTTGCTAGTTTGATACAAATCCTATTCAGTCTATCCGATCGGATCATTTATGCTGGATTTGACATTCCTTGGACAGCGACTAATGTAGCATGGTGCAAAATTCGTTATTTCTCTGCACATTGTACATCGTTGAATGCTCTATCCTTTCTGGTCTTTTCAGCTATCGATCGATTCTTTTCGACCTGTGACGAAATCAAATGGCGTCGTTTGAATTGTGCTTCGGTTGCCAAACGCGTTTGTATCTTTACAATCGTATTCTGGACGATACTGACTATTCCAACGTTAGTCTATGCAAAGCCAGTACAAATCAAGCTGAATAGATATTCGTGTGAAAACACATCTTGGATCTGGTCACAAATCGCCGTTTTCTTTTTCAGTCTTTGTTGTTACGGGATATTTCCATGGTTTTTCATGAGCTTATTCGGATTCTTAACCTGGAAAAATCTTCGTCGGATTCATCATCGTCGAATATGCATTGCATCTTCAGGTATTGTCACTCGTAAAGCACGTATCGATGATCAACTTGCATCGATGTTATTCCTCCAAATCTTCATTTGTATTTTATCATCCATTCCATTTTGTAGTCAGAATATTTACTCCAGTGTAACTCGAACGATGGATAAAACTGAGTTGCGTCAAGCACAGGAGTACCTGTATCTTCAAATAGCTCGTTTAGCATTCTATTTCAATTATATCTCCACCTTTTATGTCAACTATTTGTCCTCGGCAATCTTTCGGCAAGTATCAAGACAAGTCCTTCGAAATTTATTTAAAAACAAAGAGAACTTATCTCGGCAAGCGACTATGGTTAATCATCAAGAACCGAGAACACAATGATTCATAATGCGCGAAACTTTTATCAGTTCGATTTCTTAATCTTATTTGATAGCATTATATCCGGAGGACAGAACAAAAGATTGAATATCGAACAGCAATGATTGGTTTTTATTCGATTTTCTTGATTAGGATCGTCGCATTTTGTAATTTGATTATCCACTTGATGTTTCTGTCAATTGTGTTGTCGAGTGAATTTTTCTTTTCAATATACTACTCTGATTCCGTAAGTTAAATTTATCTCGATTAAGTTGGCACTTCTATAGTGTATCATTCACTAATGGTAAATATTGATTGATATGCTTTCAGACATCGACGTTTGACACGAGTAAACAGAATCTATGCCAAAGCAAATAGGATAACGTATATTTTCGAAAGAACATAATTGTTCGATTATATAAGATTAAAGTTTATTTCATGTGTACTTGAATTGGATTTAACACACGATGTAGAACAATAACTGATGACACTGAACTGATAAGAGGAGGACAAGATACGCGAGATGTTTTCATTTTATCTCATTCGTAGACTTTCGACTCATTCTGTGCATTCGTATTAGCCAGTGAAGAGTTCCCTCTATCGAGAAAAGAACACAAAAGATATGAGATAGAATGAGACCCAAGATAAAGTATCATGGCATCGACAATGACGCATACCATTGTGTATATATATTATGTGTATTTATTCATCATTTCTTCTATGGCCACAGCTTGTAGGCACTGAGAATAAGCAAATAAAACAAATCATTTCTCTTTTTCTTTTCTTTCAAGTGCTGCTATTGTTGTTTAGTGTGGCTTTGAAGAAATTCTCCAACGAATTTATCTTAATATCTAATTAGTGATATCCACACATCTAGTTAATCAATGCTAGGTATTAATAGCAACAGCAGTATCGATATCTTTCTACACACATTTGGCTATTTACTTATTCTTGGTTGGTCTCTCCTAGCAACATTCCATTTACTTGGTCTGTTTTACGGGTAAGATAAATTTTACATCGTTTTAAATACGGCGCAGAAGGAGAGTTTAATTGAGCAGAACGCTTGCGAATGAGGGTGTTCGGCATGTGAGATATGATATGACACAGACTCTCATATAAAATAACCGAACGACGAAAAAAAAAGAAAAGTACACGTAATCGATATGATCGAAGACATGATATTTATATATGCTAAAGTATGACTGAGTATTCATGTATCTAGTAAGAAAATATTCCTATCCAAACAATTTGATAAATCATATTTTAATAAGGGAAGTGTAGGAAAAAAATCATTCAGCACAGTTTTGATCACTCTGCTCAAATTAGTCATGAGCCTATTGATAGTCAGAGTATACCCTAGTTGTATTCAATACGATTAGAATATGTACGCATGCTGATGACGAAAGAGCTAACTAAACCGCAAGAAAAAGACGGAAAACTCGAGGTTTCCAGCTCGACGAATTCATTTGGGAAATTTTATTCAACCAATGACATACATACATACATTTCATTTGTTGATGATAATGTTCTATTAATGTGAATGAAGATGAAAATGTGTTGATACGAGTAATTGTATTTTGCCTTGTAGCAGTCTTTTTATTATGGGAAGAATAAACGATGTGATAGTTTCAGGCTTTCAACAAAAAAACAATCACACATACCAGAATAGGTTGGCTCGTTTTTATAAATTCATAGCATAGTTTGCGATGAAAAATATTAAGCGAATATGTTCCATTGTCGTTGCTATGCTGTATCAATAATCGGTTTTGAGAAAAGTTGATAGCTTGAGCATTTGTTTGTTGTTGATGAAAGTAATAATCCCGAATGAAATCGTAGTTGTCGTGGCTAGCTTTGTACCATCTTCTTTTCCTTTTCCTTCCTCTTCCTTTTTTTTCACTCCATTCAATTGAGACGAGAGAGGTGTACTACTTCTCCCTCATTCTCCTCTTTCTCTTCTCTACCTCTATTTTTCTTCTGCTCGCTCCTTTCTATCGATTATGAAGAAATCGCTACTCGCTGTTTTTACTTCGTTCTTTCGCTCAGTTTTGTTCGCCTTGCTCTTCATCATTATACTTCGTCATTCATTCATCCATTCATTCTTTCGTGTGTGTGTGTCATCCTCCTTTTCTTTTGCTTCTTCATCCTTTTACGCCTCCATATTCGTAAAAGTACAGACAAATAGTTATACGTAAAATGCAGTGTCGATGACAAAGTCTGTTCGGGTGCCATCTGCTACGATTATTGTTGGCCATGTTCTTCTTACATATAGCATACACAATTGCGCTCTCCATAACTCTGGTTTTAGCACTGTTAATCATAACTTTGGTATGGTTATTTCATATTAGCGGAATGAGCTACGGGTAAGATTGATTTCTACTTTATTTGACGGGAAAATGTTATCGAGTAAATTCGAAACAGACGCTACCTTTGATTTTCCGTTTTCTACTTTGTTGTTTTTTGTTTGGTTGTTACAAAACCAATGTACAGATGAAAATACTGCCTTTTTGTTTTACCTGTCGTCTACATGAAGTGTCTCGGTAGAATGACTGCTGATGAGAAGGTTACCGAGCACTCATGTTCACATGTTTGCCTGCTACCTTAACAGGTAAACAATTTAGATACATGCGTATTCTTTCGTTTCTCCCTTCTGCCTTTCTCCCTCTTTCACCCTCGCGCATGCTTTTTTGTTCACTCTTGTTGACCGTTTCCGTTTGGCCTTAAGCCAATGTTTTTTTTTCTTTCTCCTTCTTTCGTGTACGTTTTAATTGTTGATCTCTCAGAACATTGGACGAAACGAGATTATCAGACGCTCTAGAATAACAACTTGCCTACATCTGTCTGTTCGCTGCTTTTTTTCGTCTCCCAGAGGATATTCATCATCATTACAATAACAAGTACAGAAACCAATCAGACATATCAAAACAACAATAAATTCATTTGATCACACACGCCAAAGATAGATATTATTAAGACATGCCTATATTTCTTTTGTTTTTGATCGAGTTGCCCTTCGTATCCTCGAGAATAACAATGCAGGAGCTTAATTTCAAAGCAGCAGAAGGAATTAAATTACTCTTTTTCTTTCTGTCTACAAAAAACGACAAAATAACAACAACTATAATCAAAATGGCTTGCTTAGATCAATAGGAAAACCTATTTTCGTGACACTAGCAACAAGCAATTAAAGTTTTTTTTATAGAAAATGCACACCTGCTAAGCAAACAGTATGATTGATTGTTGTTATTATTGTTTTATTGAAGAGTGAAAAACTAACCGACGTTATATAAGATAGACTGAAGTGTAACTTGGCATATAGCGAAGAGGAAACGAATTTCTCGAAATATGATTTTAATATTGTTTAGGTTATACAAATTCCATCGAAAACCATCACATAGTAATCTCAAAGAATTACCAGGTGTTTCGATAATTAAACCATTGACGGGCATCGATACAAATCTATATGAAAATTTAAAAACCTTTTTCAATCTTCAATATCCTCGGGTAAGTCTTGACTCAAACGAATTTGATTTCCCTCTAATTGACGTCTTTGTCGAATAGTATGAAATACTTTTCTGTGTACAAGAACACGATAAAGAATTGATCGATTTACTCGAGCGATTACGGGAACAATATCCACATGTCGAATCGCAATTATTTGTTGGTAAGTAAAATGAATGTACCGAATGACTGCAAGTCGTTCCCTTCTCATTCTTTCTCTCGGATAAGTACTTCATCTAATAAAAACCTCTTCATCGAATGACTAACAGGAAGTGAATTTGAAGCGAAAATACACGAGAACAATATCGATGAAGAACAAGGAAATGATCGGACACCGTTGGTAACTGGTTCGACAGAGGATCTGCCACGACGACAACGAAGGTCGATATGGAAACGACTTTTGTGTTGCGGTATACATCTCTCTCACTCATTCACACGCTTGCAGATAACAGATTCTCTAACGCACGGAATAGATTTTAACGTGTAAGAACGACATGAAAAAGAGATAGTAGTTTGGATAATTTGCTCATTAACATTGACATTTGTCGCTTTCGTTTTGTAAATAGAAATAATTACAAAAATTTCTTTTTTGATTAGGTTCACTTTCGCAAAAATTATCCGGTGATAAATCATCAAAAAGTGGAGTTACGGAAATTCGAAATCCAAAAATATTTAATATGCTCCCCGCTTATGAAAAAGCTCAATATCCATACATATTGATATCAGATAGCGGTTTGATGATGCATGAAAATACTTTGTATGATATGGTTATGTGTATGACTGATACGGTTGGTCTTGTTCATCAAATGCCATTTACTTGTGATAGAAAAGGTTTTGCTGGGTCTGTTGAAAAGGTATGTAGGCTAGAAATGAGATTTGATCTTGCTATTAAAATGAGTACATCGCTAGTAAATATTTATATCAAAATATTTGATATGAAATCGAAATAAAACGGGGGTTTTTCATTTGTTATTAGAGAACAAATATGTACTTGCCAGATTTTTTAATTATTCGAAATTCATGACAAAGACAACAGACAAAGTTTAACTTCATTTCTTACTTTAGGTCTATTTCGGTACTCAGCATGCTCGTATGTATATGACAATCAATTTAGTTGGGATTAATTGTGTTACTGGAATGTCTTGTTTAATACGCAAAGAATGTATTGATCATGTAGGTGGTCTACGTGCGTTTGGCCATTATATAGCAGAAGATTATTACATTGCATACGAGGTTGCTAAACAAGGTTGGCAACTACGTGTGGCATCCGCGCCTGCTCAACAAAACTCGGGCGAATATTCTGTATCAACATGGATCGATCGAATGGTTCGATGGTGTAAATTAAGAATGCGCTTGAGCCCATTGGCATATTTAGAGCCTCTCCAAGAGTGTTTTTCGTCTGCTATCTTAGCAGGTTTAGTAACAAATTATTTATTTGAATGGAATGCGCTCGTTGTTGCTGCCTGCCACATCCTTATCTGGTTTATCCTTGATTATTTGATGCTTCGAATAACTCAAGTATGTTTTGTCTCCTGCGACATGAAATGAATAGTGATTTGTTGCTTGTCATTTGTCTAGGGCGGTGCACTTCCATTTTCGAAATTTGAATTCGCAATAGCATGGCTTGTGAGAGAACTTTCTTCGTTTTACATATATTTCAAAGCATTCACGGGCTCATCAACGATCAAATGGCGTGGAAAAGAGTATCGTCTCGGTTCTGGTACACGAGCTGAAGAACTGACTCCTTCACCTTCCCCACCACCTGCCCCATCTCTTCTTGTCGAATCATCTTCATCATCTATGTCAACTTCCTCTTCGTCGTCGTCTTCCTCCTCATCGACTAATTCCATATCACCCGTGGCTGGCCCACACATTCTTTCATCGTCTCTATCTACGAAACAACCATCTCAGATTGTCTAGGAACTATTCTTCTACTTTGTTTTCAAATGTCTTTCTCTTTCTCACATTTTTTTTTGTTGTCCATTTGTTTTTCGATTTTTCTCAATTACGTGCCGGTCACAATCTACTCATATCGTTCAAACCAATGATGAAGATATTTAGTCGATCGCTTATTTCTCTGGAGCCGACTTGAACCGAGATCGCAATCAGAAGTTTAGCATTTACAATCCATCTAACAGTGTTTTTTGTTTGGTTTCTTCTGCTATTTTGTATCTACGTCTCTCATTTGTTTTTTTTTTCTCTTGTCTATAAGAATGATTCGTGTTTGTTTGTCTGTTTGTCCTTGTCTCCTTTCTCTCTTCTCCTCTCTTTCCATATTGGTCTTACTTACTTTTCCTTTCTCTATAGGTCTTCGTCTATTTAGTGTTCATTGTTGTTATACGCAGAAAAAAGTAAAGAAGAATGGAGTACTGAACATCATGAATCACTATCGATGAAAAAGAAGGCTAATTTAGAACAAATAGAAGCAATAGAATAAACGTATTCGTGTATGTCCCACTACTTCATAAGTTTTATGACTAGCAAACATATTTTGAAGTTGAAAGAGCCTATTCGATGATAGATGTTTTTCATTGAGAATCTATGCAATTCAAATGTCAATTGATATAACATCAATACGACGTCCAGAATGAATGCTATTCATTGCTTGCACATTCTTTGTTCATACATTTTCATCGCTAATGATTCTTTGTCTTTGTTAGCCTTGTCCTAATGCAACGTTCAATGTCAACGGTACAATATAGGAAGAGGAAATGACTAGTCAAACATTAAATAAGGAAATAAAATAAACAATACAATTACGAGTTCATCGACATGAAAATGATCGAGCTTACCGTTGTATGTCTATAAGAACTCTTTTGTCTGTTGAGAAATTTAAGACGATACGATCGAAACTTTGTTCATGTTACATGCGTGAAAAAAAAACTGACCATGAAATAATCCACTGTTGATAGAATATGTACTGCTGTGTATCAATAGATATTATCCTAGTTGATATTGTATACTTGGTAATGCAATACCGAAGTTTAAATTAGAACAGAACTCGATTATGGAGTTTCTCGAACGTAAGTTTGCTAAAACTATCATTGATTTCTCATCGTATATTATAAATTTACTACCTAAATCATTCACGTACATGGAATAAATGATTGTACGAAAATCCTAGAACGACACAATATTGAATAAATTGAATATGGAATAAATGTTAACGGGATAAATGAGAATAAAAATGGAAACGGTCTTTTCTATGCTTGATTTGTCGATATGTCATTTTTTTTAACAGGATAACAACATTTATTTATGATTGTCAATTTCGTCTGTAATACCAGTAACTGTCGACGAAGCACTATTTGTTGCATCAGTTAAATTGTTCAGAATACTGATGCGATGGTTTTGACCGTTTGAAGTGTCTTGATTATCAATGTGAAAAGCACCTGAGACGATTCCATTTTGAGTGTCAGCAGGTGGAACATGTTCGACATTGTTATCTGCTACTCCAGTAGATATTTTATCACCAACCAATTGTTCGCTGAATAACGATACTGGCAGTATACAATTTTCTGTATTCGTACTTTTGTCGACCTTTGTTGTGTCCAGTTTGGATTTTTTCTTCTTCGTTTGTTTACTATTGCTTTCTGTTGTTGATAACTGAACATGCTTGTTCGTATTTTCAGCAGTTGTTAAGATTTTCTCTTGATCTTCAGTCGTTCTTACGATGGTCAGACTTTGATTTTTTCTGGTTAGTTTCGCACCCATTCTCAGTATCGATGGCGATGTGTGAAGTTAAAGTGAAGATAACTGATGTACGAATATACCAGAAATCGACAACAACAAGAACACCGAATATGTACGCGAATAGTGAATCAAGTATGTCTGAGAACAGAGAGCTGCGAGCAAATACTGATACGAACATGAAGATGGTATCGAGATAACAATGGAATGTACACTCTTGATATGTGTATGTATTCGACGTTATTATTGTTCAAGTGTTATCGGATAGATGCTTTGCCTGTAATGAATAGCAATATTGACCATCATTAATAATGGTAATATAACAAGAAAGAAAATAGCAGAAGATATCGCTCAATTCAATTATCATTTACAGAACCATTCATAGCATAGTCTAGAACTGAACCGGATATAAGATGATTTACGTTTTAGACGAATTATTTGTAGTTTTACGAATGAGGGCAATCCCGAGTTTCTCTTACATTCTCGACTATATTTTACAGTCACTTCAATGTATGAGACTAGATAAGATAGAATATCAATCAATGTAGTCAAAGATACGTGATGATGGACGTACAAAGACGATCATAAATCACATTCTGATAGTATTGCCAAACGTATCATTTGCATTATTCGATAGTACATCAAAGTAATGATTATATGTACATATATTGAATAAAAGTATATATCAGCTTGGCTATATATATATATATATATTCATCTCTTTATTCTTCAGCTGAAGAGACAAAAATACATACACAAAAGATATCAGCAAATTTCTATCGAACAGAAATGACCTGTAGTCTCATTGTTTGGCATATATAAGAAGAAGAAAAACAACAACAAAAGCTTTAGTTCACAAGAAAATTAAACAAGTTGAGGGTAGAGGGGAAAAGCAGTTGTCTGATTATCATGAGATAAAATGCACAACATTTATGATCAATCACGATATTCTTCATATTCCGGCCAGCGATTGTTGGTTTGCGTACCTATACAACAAAGAAGATATAGCATCTACTGGAAAGACTATTATTAAACATACCATAGTTTTGATCCCACCACGATAAGTCTTCGTTGGAATCATGTGCAGTTATATTTGTTTTGTAGTCGTCATTCATTTTCTTTAGCGTTGGACTGGAAAAGATCAAATATAAGATGTGTCATCACCATCATCATCAAGGTTAACATACTTGTCTTCCGTGGCTGTCTCTAATATTTTTGAGAATTCTTCGAACGTTTCTTTGAAGAAATCCAGACGTTTCTTTTCGAACGCTTGAGTTCGTTCAAACACCTCTTTCATTGCCGATTCATAACGAGGCCTTTGTTCTCTTGCCTCGTTCACTGCTTGTTCGTATTTGGCTTTAGCAGATCCAACTTCCCTCCTGGCAACTTCAGCTTTATCTGCCAATTTTCGTCGTTGTTCTTCGGATGCCGAACGTTCAGCATCATCGGCTAATTTCGCCGCTTTGCAAGCTGCATAATAAGTAGATTTGTAGTCCGAGATTTTATCTAATAATTTCGACCAGGACTTTTGGGCATCAATGAATTCTTTTTCGAATTCTTTTGTTTTTTTATAATGAATGAGTGATTTCTCGTAATTATCTTTTCGCCATTGACGAAGTTTAGGTATTAAACTATCCGTTAGCGAGGACGACAGTGCCCCATGAACTTCAGCCATCTGTTCACCTAAATTAACTTTGTTTAGTGAGGGGAATCCAAGAGAATCAAATCTGATTACCTGCTGTTGCAGTTTGATCCCAAACCTTTTTATTTGTTCCGTATTCTTGTGATTTAACTAATTCGGTATGCCATTTTCTCGACCATGCACGTAATTGATTCGTGTACACAGATTCGAGTTGTGCACGTTCTTCGAACATATCTGCAAGTTGTTGAGCAAGATCGTGCCCGTTTTCACATCGCTTCAAAGCAACTGAATAAGCGCCTGGTTCGAAAAAGCCTCGACCATACGCTGAATTATTCGCGAATGCTTCTGGTCCAGCCGTAGCTGCATTAGAAATCGATGGTTGTGGACTAAGCGATGGAGGTGGGACAACACTTTTACGACTAAATAAATTCATCTTCGAAAGAGAAATGAAAATTTTTGACTTATGCGACAAAAAGATTCAGTTTTAGTATAGATATATATATATTCGTTTAAATCCTTGGTATGTGTGTGTGAATCATGCATGCAGAAAAACAAAAATAGATGCGCAGAAGCGCGTTAGTCGCTCTTTTCTGCGCCCACGCGATTGTTCGTTCTTCTTAGGGCGAATCATTCGTCTCGTCACTCGCTGTGCAGAGAAAAGAAGAAACGCGAACAAACCAACGAACAGAGAAGAAAGGAGAAAAACAAGTATGAGCAAGATCGCTGATTCATCTTGTACACTCTGTGGAGGTTGATGAATTGTGCATTGTAGGAAAAATAAATGTTATGAGAACAGAATCCTACCATTGTCATAAAAAGCAATAATTTCTCTTTCGTTTGTCAACTAATTTAACAAACATCTGCATGTTCTTAGAAGTATACAAGAAGACAAGAATGTCGATGACGTATTAATTCATATTGATTGCAAGCATGTTTCTTTATCTGACTGATTGAGTCATGGATATTAAAATGCGTATAGGCAAACTCCAATCTGCAACGTCTGACTAATATCTGCACAAGAAACAGATTAAACATGTTAATAGACTATGCCGAATTTTGAGCTGGTTTAAAACTAAAAGAACTACAAGTATAAAATTATGACACAAGCATATGAGAGTGACTGCAAGATCGTGTGAGGGTTATTGCTCACTGCGAATGTTCATCTTCAATCATCCTATGTAATAACATTTGTGTCATTTGAATTTTTCACAAAATTTATGGAGATCGGTAACAATTATATATAGTGACAGTTAATATATGAATAGACAGATTTGGTTGCGCCTCATATATCTGTTTTGTTGTAACACAAACTGCACTTTTCTGTCGTCTATGAATTGGTAAAATGCTGATTAACACACATGCGTACTATTCACGTCAGATTTAGTATCTAATTAGTAGTTGTTCTAAGTCTGTAATTTGATCAAATATATTTTCACACGGCCAAGCATCATTAATTCGAATATTATCTCTTCCCTTTTAATAAAATGATAGCACAGCCATTCAGTTTTATTTTCACTACGTTGGAAATATGTATCAATAATTTCGCAAGTAATGATTCTTGGCTTTTTCCTGCTTCCCTTATCTTATTTTATATATTGAATCGTTAAAGTAAAGGAGTACATTTGATACGCACATCCCTATTCCTAGGAAAATTCTCAAAGTTTTCCATTGATATCACACACAATCTTGAGAGTGGAACGACTTCGTTCTGTTTTCATTATAGTTTTACGTAGCCCATCCCACCCTGATGTTTTCACACTTTGTTCGTAGAATGAAGCTTTCATTGAAACAATTCATAGAAGCGTAAAATAATGAATTTTTTACATTTGTAGTATTGTATGACGTCCCAAGCCAATTTCTTTCATAAGAAGGTTTACTCGACTTAGACTAACAGAGAGGAACGCCTTGTCACAGAATCATTCTGCTATAAATCGATCGCTCGATTATATTCCTCTCACTTCCATTCCGCAGAGTATTGTTTGAAAGGCAATGTAAGTTAATGCTCTCGTTGTCTTTTTAAACCTGATGTAAAGGTGAAATACTCATTATCTAATAGTACAGACTTTGAAACTTGTAGACTCGCTATTTCAATTCTGACGTCAGAACATGTTCGTCTAATTTTAACATGAATAGAAATGCAAGAAACTACGATAATTAAAGATAAAAGTGTTCGGAGAGCCAGTCTGAGGTATATATATACATAACAGATTTCAGTGCTATTGCGATTCTGTTTTTAAAGAGTCGGGTACGTTGACCGATTCCTGTCTGGAATCTTCGCATATTTAAGCTATACTCCACAAACTTTTCGCTACATAGTTAAGAAAGTATCAAGTATAGCAAGAAGGCATTGATGTACTTCGTCAAACGAATGCATTTTCTATTTAGATCTGTATTCGAATATCAAGTGTCAACACAATTCATGCATTACATCATTACCATCATAGCTTTGCTCTTAATGCTAATCTCAATTAAAAGTCAAACTGTGTCCGATCGTTCCTATTCGGAAACGCTTCAACGTTTAGCATCACAATATTGTTCCATTCATGACATGAAATCATGGGAGCAACGAGGGGCGATTTTGGAATTGATAGTAAAAAGTGTTAGACGGCCTCGAAATACTATTGATGAAATCATCAAAGACTATGAACAATATCGAACTGAGAAGGAATGTTTAAAACTTGTAGAATACATGCCAATTTTGATCGGACATGGATGAAAGATGATTTGTTTTTGTTTCATAGAGAAGTTTTTTTTCCTAATATCAATAAAAACAAACAAAACGCAAACAGAATTTAGATATTATTTAGCAGTGGCACTCGCAGGTAGTGTTGTTTGCCTTTTTACTGGCATATTACAGTCTAATTTACCACGAACTACTTTGTAATGAACACCAGGTAGATCTTTCGTTCGGCCACCTCGCACTAGTACACTGTGATGCTCTTGGAGATTGTGTCCTTCACCTGGAATATGTGCAATCACTTCGAGACCGTTAGCCAAACGAACACGGCAACATTTACGATTGGCTGAATTGGGTTTTCTAGGCTTTCGAATTAGGGTTTTCAGGACAATGCCTAGAATATTAAAATAATCTTATTGAATTTATTTTAATATGCGAATGTCATTCTGATGAAAGAATCCAAAAATAGTGTATAAAGACATAGGCCTGATGAACATATCAGTCTTTTGGCAAAGGAGGACACATCTGGAATCGATCACACCATTTTTGCCATTCATCAATACCTAATGTCAGTTTTCTTTGCATGACTTTTCAGTCGAAAAGTTGTCGAGTATAAATGTAGTTCTTTCAGCACTCACCTCGCATAGTTGGTTGTTCGTCCATTTTACTTTTCGGCAGTGGACGTACGCCTGTTATCCACAGAGTATTCGTATGCATATGCCAGAGTGTGTTGAACGAACGACGAATAGTCAATGTTGATGTTATCGAGCTCGCTGTTGTGGCGCATGTTTTCAATAGATTTGCCCACATTCTTATTCAGCGTCTTTTACTATTATCTAAAACGCATACCTCGTATAAGTTGAATAAAAGAACACAAAACAGAACAAAAAAAAGTTTAAAGAATTGTTTTCTTTTTCAGTTTTAATCAACAATTAAATGTCGGGTCAAATACCAAATGAAAAATGGTTGAAGAATAACAACAAGAAGTAGTAAATATATACGACGCTTATTTCCGTTAGAACCGTACGGTTGAGATCCACCTGTATCTGGTAAGATTTGTAAACGAAGACATTTAACCTAGAAAATCGTGCTGTTTAGAGAAACGAAAGTTTCCAATCAATTTACGTACAAGAAAGTAGGATAGTGATAAACTAACGTAGAGTAATGAACAACGATAAACAAATAATGAATGAGTTAATAAATATGATGATAATGCAGCTATCATTCCAACGTATTTATAACCACAATAAGCAATTAGATCCAGTGTACGTAATTTCGATTGAACATTGAAGATGTAAAATGTAAAGCATAAAACGCATATTTCAATTATGTTCCAAACCAGTACAGATGATGCATGCATACCCAACTGTTCCGGTGTGAACCTAAGGAGATAGCAATGGTATTGAGCATAAAATGGATAATGATTATTTACCTGTCTTGAGTACCCAGGACTAGGCCAGCGACGAGAACGTATGTGATAGCACTCATTACTAAAATATAGAGATAAACATTAACTTGACAAGCCAAGAAATAGTAATGCATACAGGGAATATAGTAGTCCGGTGCATTCGTGTCAACACGTGGTGGAACTGGTTCATCCGCACTATAACCTAAAGACCAGTTCTATGAAGAAAGACGATGTAGTCGTATGTGAATGAAGCATTTTATAGCCTTACTCGTGGTCGAAATGGGAACAGAAGTAGACAAAGTTTTTTAAAAACATAAGCTTGATCAACAGCAAAATAGTACTTGATTGACGAGATGGACTTTTTCATCTAAACGCGAACACTCACGTTTCTGAAAATATTTAAACCAAGGAATATTACTTCATTGGGTAACATATTCACAGTCTTGCCGGTAAAATCTTTCATGCCCTGTTCAACAACATTTAAACCAACGTTAAAAAGTGGATTGTTAGAGAGATATTCCACTCCGGGCATAGCTTGATTAGACGGCATTTGTTGTTGAGATGGCGGTGCATAGAAAGCAGTTTGCGGCGAGAAGAAAGCATTGTGCGAAGGTGCTGGTGGAGGCTGAGGAACATTAAAATCACCTCCATACGATGGAGGAATTTGAGGTTGAGGCATACCAAAATCACCTGCATAATTGTTTGCTGCTGCTGCTAGATAAAACAAAGAGAAAATAGGCAAATAGTTTCGAAATGGAATTAATACAAACGGTATGGAGCTGTGGGTTGATAGAATTGAGATGGTGGCTGTTGCTGTTGCTGCTGTGGTTGCTGTTGTTGTGATGGTGGGTGGGGATAATTTTTCCCGAGACGCATTGGACCACCTACATGAGATTGATTGAGTGAATAAATTCATCGATGAAATTATAAGACAAAAACTCACGTGAACTCATGATGTTAGAATGTTCTATCGCACGAGAAAATCAACGAAATAGTTACGTTCCGAGTAGCCACCTCACTACATGATGAATTTATTGGTCGATATCTTCGACAAAACAGAAGAATTTAGCATATATGTATTAATAATCAACTAACGACCTCTATCTCTTCCACACATGATGAGTGAATGTAGTTATTCCATTCAGAATATTTAGCGTAGAACAAATTCGAGAGCGAATATGATTTATGAATATCTCTGTTATAATCAAAATACGACCGAGCTACATATATATTTTTTATTCTTATAGAGAAAAAAGCTATCTACTGTAATAAAAGTATGTTTGAATCACTAGTCTCAACTAAAAACTGCGATTGATCCGTTTTTAAAACATTGAATCAGGTCGTTCGCTAAGCCATTTCTTGATTTCGGGTGTTTGTTCCACTTTATCATGGATGGCTTTCAATGCTGGACATCCTTCCAACGCCTTTTGCACACTTTGTTGATCATCGAAGAAGTGTATTAAATTGTAAAGTTGAATATCAAACAATGATAAACGTGCACCAATCCAATAGCCAGATTTATCCTTGCTTGCTTGTTTTTCAAAAACGTTGAATGTCTTCGTTAAATCATTTTCGAAAAACTGTTTGACAGCGTCACCACCAGTTGTTTTAGCTTTGTTATAAGCTTGTTTGATATCAAGGATTTGTTCACCAGCCGCATCTATTCTCGATAAAATTCCTGTAATCACAATATTAACAAAAAGCTTCTCTTACCGATCAAAGCTCCTTCGATATCATTGCTACCGAACATATTAAAACGACGAGCTAAGAATCGTTCAATTGCTTTTGATTGCGCAATTGTGTATTTACCGCCATCAATTTCGAGTACAGGTATTTTTTCGTAAGTATATTTCGGCTTATCAGCATCCCATTCTGGTCGAATATATTGGCCATCTTTGATTGTTATTGGATAGCGAAAATCTTCGAAGTCTTGACCAGCCGCTTTGAACAACATACGTGATGTTTCAGCCAAACCTCGGCCAGCAAAATAAATCAATTTGTAGCTCGACGATGATGACATATCTAAAACCTGAATCTATTGCGCGTAGTCAAGTTTGCTTTCCTCGAATAATATATTCAGCAGAGCGTGAAAACCTTTGTTTTCAGTTTATACTAACATGGGACAGAAGAGGATTCATATTGCCTAACCTTATGCTTTGAACCACACAGGAATTATTTTTGTTAAAAACAACAATACAGGAGTAAAACATAATCCTACTATATTATTTTGTTCATCAATATATCAGAATTTAAACAGCGTATTAAAGAAGGAGGAGAAAGAAAAAACAAAATTTCTGTACAGATAGAGAGTGAACACGCAGAGAGATATTGTATCAGAACAAGTGTTGCTGTTTTTATCGAAATCAAACATAAAAAAGAACCAAAAAAATTATTAGATGTTATTCATGGTCATTATCGATCGAAATGCGCTTAGCCATTGTTGCTTATCATACATATCACGAGCTTGTAGTAACATAGATGTATTACGACTATTATTGTTATCGAATGACGACGACGAATAACATCGAAACACGTTTCGAGCTAGAAAAAGAAGAAAAATCATCGAATCATTTTGTTCGTTTACATTCATGGAGGCATGAGGAAGACGTACCAGGTTTCGATCCAGCCAATGTACGTGAAAAACTACCAGACGATAGTTCAGGAATTTTAACGCCATCTTCAATATCTTCAACAATTAGAGATAGAACAGGTATAGGGTAGTTGGTTAGCTGGTAGGATTTTAAACCATTTCGTGTAGCGAAACGTGTGAAAAGCAAGATTTCATCAAATAGAAATACGTGGAGTTTCTAATGAAAATCGATTTGAATTTTTATCTCGTATTGAAAGGAGTTTTCTTACTTGACCACGATTGTTTTTAAGTTCACCTTGACACAATATTCGTGTTTGTTTTTCGATCAATGAATGTTTCTATCGAAGACAGATTCTTTTTCTAAAGAAAAAAATCTTCCTTTTGAACTTACCTGATCATCACTCATATAAACCAGTCGTGCAATCACATTGGAACACAGTTGCGCCGATGTTGCTTGACTAACATCATTGATAAGTTCTTCAACAAAATTAATCTAAATAGAATGAAACAACTATTTGTTTTACTAATCAAATTATCGATTAATTACTTACAGTATCAAGTAAAACTCGTTTATCTTCATGGCCATCTTTCGTCTAAATACACGAAACAAAAACAAAATTATTAGTCCTACATATAAGGATATTTCCTCGAATGAAGTAGAAAAAAATCAACACATATGATAATCAAGATCGTATCTTGATTGCAGATACGCTTCATTCCAGTTAATTCGAAAATAAAATGTTTGCGTCAAGGAGTCAGATGAGCAGAACTTCAAAAAGATTATTAGTACAGATATGGGCCTGTTTCCTATTGGTATGACTTGACATTGAACTACCGTGATCATATAACATCAACATTGAAACTGTAGGAAAAGACTTCGTCCTTCATTTTCATTTTCGGATGAAAATCCTCGGTTTTGAACTTACTCGCTTTTGAATACGTTTGAATAGGATTGGATATTTCATTAAACGACTTCGCGGTTGATCTGTAAATAGAAAATAATATCTGATAGATGAACTTTAGACGATATTCACATACCGAGAAAATCCCAGAGATCAAGTTTTCGACTAAAACCAGAATCTGTACAACGTTTGAGATAATCATCAACACGGCCATTTTCTTCACAACGTTTGGCATCTAATAGTTCTTTCGCGTTTATCAAATTCGAGCAATAGGATACGTAAGATAAACGAATACGTTGAAACTAAATCGAACCAAAAATATGTCACTGCGGAGGAGAAATCTTTTGAGAATATCTTACCCAATCCAGGTAGATTTGACCAACGGCATCAATCGAGGAGCTGCCTTTTGGTTTTAAACGATACAAGAGATCTATTCGAGCGAAAAACATCATGAAATCTGTCGAAGTAGAGTACTTTTACCTTCATGCAACGGTAGAATATCTTCAAGTGGTCCAAATATTTGTTTTAATTCCGAATCTGTCAAGATATTCAATGTTTTCATTCCATTACGATAGACCTACGTAAGAAGAAATACGATTTTGGATCAATTAACATCTTCTTTTACTCGTTGTGCTAAACCCAAATTTTCAATCATTTGCTGTTCTTCGGAAAGTAGTTCGTAGAGAACGTTTTGCCGTTCTATCTCAGTAGCTGTCATCGTTTGTTTCAACTTCTCTCCGTCACATGTTTCTGACCAAGCGGCACGAAATTTCTTCACTGTATTCGGCGATGAAACATGATTCGATGCTTGCTGCGATGATGGTTTACGACGCACGTGAGCATTCGCATGTGTATTATGGTTAATTAGATTTAGCAGATTCGCTGATGACGATTGTTTTGTTGTTTGAAGCATGTTGATGACACGATCACACATTGGACTTAGCAATTCCGACACAGAAGATAAACGTGGAAGAGATAAACGCTTTTTTCGTTGGAAATGATCGCCAACGATGTCTTCGAGTGAACGAAGTGAGACTGTATCCGAATCAAGTTTTCGTTTTCGTTTTTTCTAAAGAGAAAAAGAGAGATATTTGAGGTAGAGTATTACGAAATTGTTGGTCGGATCTACTTTAAATCGAAGTGAAACTGAATTTGTTGGTGTCGTCGTTGTACTTAATCGATTGGAAATTGTTAAATCATCATTCAGAGATAGGATTGATGATGCTGATGGCGGTGGCATTTCATCCATTAATTCGATATCGCATGATGACGACGTTGGCGAGATATGTGGATGTTCACAAGAAGCAAACATTCTCGTCAACAAAATACTGATCTACAAGTGAATACAAATATCAGTTATTTATCGGTGTTTGCGAAGAGAACTGCAACGAGAGAGAGAGAGAGAGAGAATGGGAGAGAGAGAAAGAGAAAAAACGAGCAAAAAAAGTGTCTCAGGGTCAGTAAAGAGTAACAGCTGTCACACTCTGTTCATCCGATAACTATTAGTTTGATCTCTATCTGCGAGCTGACCTCTCATGTTCGCATGATGCAATCGAACTATCTTCGCCAGTCTGTAATGATGATTGATCACTATGATACAAGTGGATGTAGTAGACAACGAATGACCAATGATGATGGCGATCATCCTTTGTTCAATCTCGGTGTCTGGACAGAAAAGTAATCAGCATAATTAGATTATGATAAATTGATCGATAATGGCGGGAATGAAGACGATCATGTACGAAATTCATTAATACAAAACTTTGATTAAAAGAAAAAATAGGACAGTGAGAGAACAAGTGCGCAATCGTATCGTTTAATATCAGATTCTTTCTTCCTTCGATTGAAGCAATATACACATGTATACATATGATCTATATATCAAATGGATAGAGGCATATTGAAAGCTTATTAATGACATGACAAAATAGACAGGATCATTTGTATAAACAAATCTTAATCTGAGAGAACGACCTTATTTCTCCTGACATAATGAAGGTAACAAACACGACAATGATGCTAACGGACTTGTAATCTTATATGTCATAAGAGTTAGAAACTTGTGTCAACCTCGAACTGTCTACTGTATAAATACATTGCTATTATTCATTTCTATTGCACAATAATCTCTCTCGCTCTCTCGCTTTAAACACATTTATCTCGAATCAAATGAGGTTATAAAATACACGAGCAAAAGTCTCTCGCCGTCTCTTTCTTTCCTAAGCACAAAAAAAAGTACGCGAATAAATTCTTTCCTATTATCGATCAAATGGCGTACCAACTGGTGGTTTAAATCAAGATGATACAAAACCTTGAATGTACAAACAAGAAGTGTGGGACTAGGAGAGAAAAAGACAAAGTAATGTGCTACTGTCATATCATCGTTCTTTGTGCTCAGAAAGAAATCAATTTATTGGTTGATTGAACTTGCCATTTGAATTACCTCATTTTATTTCTATAG